ATTTGTAATCACGGAAGCCTCTCTGTCCTGCAGACCTGACACTTCCCTAGATGGGTAAAACACTTCCTGTGTATGCCATTCGACTGCTCTGTCTTTGGACAGGTGAGAGGCATCTTAGGCGTGCTGGGGCCAAGGAGTTTCTCAGGTTGAGCTGCTTGTTGTGGCCGAGTTCCTTTTGCTATTGTTCTTTGGACAACCTGATGTCTCCCAGTAGGGAAGGTGAATTTTAGGTCTATCAGGAAAATACTTCCTGTGGCCATCTATTAGAGGGGTCTTGTCATCCCTCTCGCTGGCTACATCTGCCTCACCCAACGGTGCCAGAGGGTCTCCGGTTCATCATGAAGAAGAATGAACTTACCTGAGCCCCTTTTTTGTTGGTAGATTAGGAATGATCGCGCCTGGATCACCATCTTGGTCTGGGTGAGCAGACGTATGATGCTCTGAAATTGTGCTATCCCTCCAGTCTGAGGGTTCTTAACCAACCTGTCGTATCTGTACCACCTTTTAGGGTTCTCCTTTGGCTGTCTCTTGCATTATTTCCAGAATTTAGAGTTGGACAGTGAAGAGAAGGAATACATGTCTATACCATTTTGTCTAGATCAAATTACCAGTCATGTTTACATTCTTTTTTTAAATATTTTTTCTGATACTGAATCATTTTCTTAAATTGGAGAGTCCCAGTTTAGATAAAATACTTTAGTAAAGCTTGGAGTAGTTCTTGTATATGTAACTATGTCTGCTTTATTACTGGAGAACTATGATCTCTATTTTAAAGTGAATGGGAGGCATGGGTCAGAGCGAGGCTCTAGCTGAAGGTACGTGCCAAATGCGCTACTACTAGCATCAAGTAAAGTAGTACATAGAATGCATTTATCACCAGCATGCGTAGGCAACAGGAAGCTCCCAGTAAGTGTTAATATTCACTTTTCCCTCAGCTCGGTCTTCTCGGTCGTTGGTTTAAGTCCCCTGAGGACAGGTACAATTTGCTTCTCATCTATACTACTGCAGGCAGTGGGCTTCATGCAGCGCTGGAGAACTAGTAATGCATGTCCACTTTTAACAGCATGCTGTGACTTCTGACAGCGTGACTCATGTCTCCAAGTGTGTGGCGTTCCAGCATGGACTGTGGGGGTGATAAGCACCGGGTAATGGAGGGCACAGAGTGGTGCTAACTCTTGGCTCCTGTACCTGCACAGTCCAGTTGAAACTTGTGGTATCGGATGTTACATGTGCTCGTGCGATCTGGCGAGTAAAATGCAGTCATTACTGATCACAGTATTTCAGCCGACACACACGAGTGCTGTGCAGGCCCGTGTTTGCTATGGAGCAGACAATCCTCTTTACTCAGTGTGGCCCAGGCAAGCCAAAAGATTGACCTTCATATATCCGGGGCAAGAATACCCAGCAATAGAAAGTTAACTACCTCAAAAGCAGTCTAACACGTCCAATTTCTCCAGCCTCTTTGCTCCCTTCTTTTTTTTTTTTTTTTTTTTGAGCTTTTCATGTTTTGGTTTCTTGTTGAATGAGCACATCTAAGGCTTTCTTCCCCTCCTACTGATTTGCTATGCCACGCAGCAATAAGCTTCTCTGTGTTCATGAATTTCTGTGATCTTTGCTACTCAATCATTCTATTCTGGGGCAAAGATATAAAGTATTTCCTTTCCTCATGAATATTTTAGGCAGTAACAGCCATAACTCCTGTGATCTGGCAGAGATATTCCATCATAGCACCCATTTTATTTGCTCAGAGTAATGGGATGACTTCACAAGGTTTTAGCCAATTTATTCACTTCTCAGAGGAAATCGTGAGAACAGAATTCTAAATTGCATTCCAAGTTACTGTCATCTAAAACCACACCAGCTAAAAACAATTAGCATTTAAACCACAGTATCTACAAAAGCTGTAGCTTATCACCATGAAAGATTACCTCTAGGAAACCTATTTACTTTGCCTCGACAAGTAAAAATATACTAGGTAACCCTATGAACTACCTGAACACGTTCCTGCATTCTGTTCCCGCCCAGTGTGAACACAAACTAAAGAATAATGTCCATCCAATTCCATCCACTATGTTTCTTTGGGAAATCAAAACATAATTTTCCAAAGTATACTCTAGAGCCTTTAGCCAGGTTTACCACAGCAACTGATGTCACGGAAAGCTGAACCTCCAGGAGCTCACTGTGTCTAGAACAGAAAGGAAACTGAAACGTGGAGCACCTCACAGAAACGGCTCACTCGGGGGGAAGCACAGAGCTCGAGCTCTTTTCCTTTCAGTTCCCCGCTTACGAGACATTCTCATAACCAGAAGAGATATTAAAGAAAGTGAACGTTTTACCTAGAGACATTCCAAGAATAAAACTTATTCTGTAAGAGGATCTTGCTAATGTATTTTTCTTTGAATTAAAACAAGCAGTTTGCAAAATAACCTCTCAAGTCATTAAAACTTAACTTGGTAGGAGCACAGGAGCTAAACACCAACAGAATCTGGATGAAGATCCGTGATATTCTTAGCATTTCTTTTCAATGGAAAAAATATTACTTTAGGTTGAGGATATATTAAGTCCTGAGTAAATGTCTTGCCTTGAACAGTAAAAAAAACAATTTCTTAATATACTAATGTCAGACTAATAATCTTTTTATAAAAGCAAATTGGACTTCTGTAAAGTTTAGATAGATAGAATGTATACATTGCTTAAATATAAGCAGTAACGTTTCTGAAAGTAGACTTGTGGTTATTACTACCCAGCCTAAGCAAATTTTTTTCTGGGATAAGGCAGTAAACCTTTTTTTAATCATTTTGAAATGGTGGTTAAATTTATAAAGCAGATCTGAGTGAACTCTGAGAGGCCAAAATGAAACCATCATGAGCAACTTAGTGAACCAAAGAGCAGTGATATTTTGGTGTGTATCTAAGGTCAACTAGGTACTCTGGTCAGAATGGTCCAGAGTTCAATAAGAATATCCCATAATCAATTAAACTGAGCTGACAGTTTTGACATGAGAACACAGATAGTATGTCATTCTGGGAGCACAATGAAAACAGATAAATGAAGATTGTATGTCTAACACGCACCTTGTTTGGTAACATTTTTCAAAAGGAAAAACCCATTCTTTCTGGAAGGACCACAACTAATGAGTAAACTCTCAGAACTTCAACTCAGCATTCACTACACTGTACGAAATCCCCAATGTAAAGCACAGACTGGACTCACTGACTCAAGCAACTCTTCAAAGTCAACACTGCTCTGATGCGACCGTCAACTCTGCAGAATGGTATTTTATTTAACAGACAGCATGGACTTCATACATATCCATTATCAGTGCCTTGAAAAGGAAACGACTTTAAAAGTTAGCAGCAATTTCTGCAAGTACAAAAATACACATTTATTACATAACAAACATATGGTAATAAAATTTGTCCAGATATATTATACAAACTCAAAGCATTTTAGATAAAGCATTGGTCTAATATATTATAGATTGATGGAGTATAATAAAATGACATGTAGTCTGTCTTCAAATAATACAATACTTTACAGCAATATTAAACTATTCACATTATGTATTATTATGGAGTATCTAAGGGAACAGAGGAAGTGGGAATGGTTGTTAAAGAACCTTAGTACAATAACTTCTCTTCTATGCTTCAAATTGGGTTGGGTGACTTTCTACCTGCTATTATGAAAGGAAAAAAGGCTAAACTATTATTTTTGCAAGTAGTTAAGTAACTTTTCCAGAAACACCCTCCAAGCCACAAAAGCTTCATTCACATCTTGCAGTGCTGACAGTAGTAGGCCCTAAGGGGAAGGGGTGTCCCTGCTGACTTCATGGATTGGGCCATGAAAGATGCGCATGGACACTTAGAAGTCTAGATACAGGGGCAGTTAACTGGAATCTATTACATATCTGTTACTGAGATGGCCAGTGTCCTGAGGGAGTTCTTTGGGCATGGAATTCTAAAAGTTTTTAATATAATGATTAGGGCAAACAAGGCCATGTCTCCAGGAGTTAGGCGGCACCTACAGTAAACATTGAAGTAACTTGTAAAAGAAAACATTAATTTTTCATCTTATAACCAAAAATGTAACCTTTAGGACAAAAATATCTGCTATAAGTTTCCTAATGATTGATAAAAATAATTAGAAATAAGCTAGCTTGTGAGAGAAAGATAATTTGATGGTAGACTATAGACATCACACGACTCCAAACAGCTCCTTACAGAGAGCAGTGAAATGCAGGAAGATGGATTATGTTTTCGGTGCTACACCCCCGTCTGGGTGGGAAGGCCTGGGAATTCACTCCTAGGTGAGGAGATGCACTGCTGTAACCTTTATGGCACGAGAGGGAGAAAGATCCATGTACATAACAAACTGACGCAGTCCAACCCATCCATCAGCTATTGAGTCATTTGAGACAAAAATATGGAAACATTTCTCGACGTAAGAAAACCAAAATGAAGGACCCATCTGAGAAGGTCTAACAACCACTTTGTTGAACATTCTATTCTATGACTCCTTGTAAGTCGCCAACCTCTAAAATGCTCTTAACTGCCAATTTATAAAACTTAGAAAGAGGGTGATTTATAAGTTTTTTGTGACTCTCTTTATGAGGAATGATTAAAATTTATGAATAAAATGAAAGTATTTTCAAAATTTATTAGAGTAAAACTGCCCTTTATTCCCCTCAAAATACTCACCCTCACTTCCAACACACTTATCCTATTCTGAAGCAGCACTGGCAGTTCTTTCATGTGATAAAAAATATGGTGAGTGCCATCCAACTAAGCAGCAGGCTTGTAATAATATTACAGGCTCTCCCCACTCACCTTAGTCATCAGATGTGGTACTGTGTAACTTCTGGCTCTTCCCCAAAGTCAACACGACATGAAAGATAAACATTTTGAATTCATTCAGGACATCAAGGCAGATACACCAGTGCAGCTAAGACACTCACAAAAGAGGATGTATAGAATTGCTTCACAAAGTGGCACCAATGATGGAATAAGTGTTAAAAGTGAATGGGACTATTTTGAGGGGGATAAATGAGTCATTTACTGTAATGAGTTTTAAAATGTAACCACCACTGTAATCTGAGGCAGGGCTACAGAGAACTATTTCAGCAAAGAGATGGCATGCTTTGGTTATGTGTTGATAACACTATTCATGCAACTGAGAGTGGAGCTATTGGAATTTTCTCCTCCACACTATGACAGCATATGCTGTTGGAAATGCATCACTTCTAAATAGGAAAAGCTGCATTTCTAAAGCATATTCCTAGCATAGAAACCTTTGAAAAGGCAACTGGAATACACACTGCCTTGTCTCTTATGACAGTTGTTTCTTGGAGCCTTTGTAAAGTAATACTAAGGGAAAAAAACATCAAGCAACACAACCAACAAAAGCACTACGATGTCATGGTACCCTGACATGAAATCACTGGTCACTGGTTTTGGGTTTTCTTCCAGAAAATTTTTCTGTGTTTTTATCCCAAATGACTCAATTGATAGATGGTTTAGATTCCATTAGTTTATTTTGTATCTGTGAACTTATCTCTCATCTTACAGGTGCATCAGTACACCGTGGTATTTTTGAATCACTCATTTTCTCCACTTCAGCTACATTAATGTGCTAGGTTCCTAGAATGACCCTGGAAAGACGTGATTAGATGTCACAGAAATGACAGTTGGCTTGGATTCAGGAAAAGGTTTTACATGATTATCATTTAATAAAAATATTTAAGAATATTTTAAGAATATTTAAGTGGCATTTTTCTCACCTAATTACTGAAAGCATTCCATGAAATAAAGGTGGGTGGTTTTGTGTAGTGCCCCCTCTTTCTGTCCCTGATTCTTCATTTCTGATACACTGGCTTCTCAGGACCCTGACGTCACTGACAGTTGACAAAGGCAGGCCTCTTCAATGGAAGATGCTTTCTGCAGTCCTCTGCTAGTATCTCTAAAATCTCAGGGCAGTACCAATCCCATGCTCTAGTAAATAAAAACTTCCTACCTAAACTTAGGTGATGTTTTTTTCACCTAAAGTCTTTATCAAGTAGTCTCGGTAAGGAAAATGTTTTTGTCCTAAGTATTAGCAAGATTATCCTTAGGCTACCTCTCCCAAGTATCTTATTTTAAAAAGGGTCATAATTATTTTGTGTTATCAGCCCAGTTCCCATTGTTGCAGACAGTAGATTCTTACTGTGGTTAAATGTCTTTGGTTACATGTTTATCCCCACCATCAGAAACCAGTGTGGGCCCTGTATCTGGGCTGGCCACATCACTTATAGTCCCAGAGCTAGATGAGGCTTCTTCCCAAGGCAAAGGACCAGAACAGCACTGCCCTTCAGCCTCTTCTCCCTTGTAGGACTTCACGCAAAATTTGAGTCTGCTCTCCACTAGGCTGAATGGAGAGCTACAGTGTTTCTCTGAGTCCTGACAGGAACCAGAACTGCATGGCTGGGCTGTCTGCAAGGCTCCAAGTCCTTCAGCCGCCCTTACAGGTAGGTCTTTCTGAATCTCTTGCAGCGAACCGGTTTCTGGAACATCAGAAGCATGTGGAGGTGACTCCAAAGGTCCTTTTAGGGGATTTATTTTCTTTTCCTCTGGTCTGGCTACTTTTGCTTTTCTCTTGAGGGACCAGTTTTTCAAACTGGCCACACTGTTTTTCAACCATGTGCTTGGGTGAAGAGTTACAGAATGCATTTGTGAATGCCACTCTACAGTGTCTTTTTTTGCATAAGCCAGATGCCCACTGGCCTGCCCTACTGAGGGACCAGGCATTTGAGAAGCAAGGCTGCAAGTATTAACATCAGAAGAAGGGTTTTCCTGTTTCTTCTGAGTCTGAAAAGTGCAATCTATTGGAGAAGAAGTTTCTGTGGGCGTAAACACAGAGTGTTCTGAAATCTGCGAAAAGGCACTATCCTGCGAGCTCACAGATGAGCCCGATGGGGAAGTGCCTGGGGAAGACAAGCTGGAAGAGCTGGTGCTAGGACACAGGTTTAGTCTTGGGGGTAAAACCTTGTCAGTGCTTTGGTGGGTGGCACTGCTTCTGCCCACCTCAATTCCCAAGACCAGACTCTGATTAATCAGTTTTTGCCCTTCCATCTGCAAAGACTTATGCCGTTTGAGATAATCCTCCTCTCCCTGCAAGAGACCACCTTCACAGCTGATTTTATGTTGTTTCTTTGAGTAAATCCCCCTGAGATAGGTCAGTCTGCAGCTCTGCTCATCTATGTTGGGCTCTGAACAGCGCCGATGTGTCCTTGAACTCTTGAGTGGACCTGCTGTGTGCGGTGGGGAGTATCCAGATGTATTTGCATCAAAATGTTGGTTCCTGGAATGATCCTGGCGGGACATATGACTATGAGAAGCCACAGAAATGGCCACTGGCTTGGACTTAATGAAAAGTTTCACATGATTTCCTTCATTACCTGACAAGCTTTTCTTCTTAATGTTTTTACTAGTGGCGTTTTTCCTGCTGGGATCAGTATCTGTGACTAAACTCTGTTCTGAAGATGTCTTACCCTCTTCTGGGAGAGGCTGAGTTTGTTTCAGGTCATCTTCATCTTTTTGGGAAAGGATTGCATCACAACTGGACTTGCGGAGCTTTTTCTGGTGAAACTCCTTGAGATAGGAAACCTTAGAATCCTGGTGGTCAATACTGGGCTCTGAGCAGCGCCTGTGTCGCCGCAGGCTTTTTGGGGCGTGTGCTGCAGCTGTGGACAGATAGCTGGGTGTACACGTGCCGGACGAGGCCCCAGCATGCTCCACCAGTGAGGCATTTCTGTTCATTACTAGCACATTTACCTGCTTGGACCCAGGAGACCATTTCATTTGAATGTCTTGATCTTTACAGCAGTCTAAGTCAAAATCATTCAGGGTTAAAAGACCTTCCACCTCAGGCTGGTCGATGTCATAGTCACTGAGGGTTAAGACCGAGTCCATGCTTCTGCTACCTTGGCCAAGTTTCTTTACCAAGTCACTACATGGAGCATCGACATCCTCATTTAGCTCATTTTCCAAGCTGTCATAGGAGGAATCATTCAGCTGGACACAAGAGGTGTCTGTCAAGAAAAATTAAACCTTAAGTACAAATATAGCAAATGCTGCCTGCAAAACAAAGTATGTTTAGTTTAATCCTCCTTTCATGTAGTGTTTGAATACTTACTCTCAATAAGGAAAAACTCTTTTGCAGTCTTTCCAACTGTTAGTAATAAAACAAAGAAATCTGTTGGGGTATAGTGCATTTATTGCAATTCCTGATGAAGTGGCCTTTTCCTAGGTAAGAGTTTCTCAAATTAACAAACACACCACAAGACCAAGAAGTGGTGATGAACAGGAAGAAATGACTGCCAGGTATAACTCTGAATAGGACTCTGCCTCCTAACATGGATTGCTGGTTGAGGACATAATTAATTTTAGTCTTGGGAAAACTAATCCTATCAATTTCTCTTTAACAAAGTACTTTAGCATTATTTTCTTATGTAGCCTACAAGAACCACTAAAATTAGAAATTATTATCTATGCTTTATAGATAGAAATAGATATTCAGAACTATAGAATAACTGGCCAAAGATATCATAACTAGTTATTGATGATACAAAAATTCATACTGTGAAGCCTGTATGTCTGAATTCAGAATATGTATCTCCCCACACAGTGTTGGTTGCTTTCAAACTGTTTTAAAGTACACAACAATTCTAAGATGTCTTGGCATCTCCCAGGAGCAAGAAAACAGGTCTGCTCCTACTGCTCTTGTCCCTACTCCACTTACAGTGACTATGGTTCTGCTATAAATACTGGCAGTCCTCATAAAGTTTTTTTTTTTTTTTTTAAAGGTTTAAATACCATTATTCCATAGTTTAACATACTAACAACTTCTTGAAGGCTGGACCTCATTTCACACATTTCTTAGCCTCACCATACTGTTGCCATACTCTGGGCTATTAGCAGACTTCTAAGGAAGGAATGAGATTTCTGGGCCCCACTGACCCCAGCCAGAGGCTCCCTTCAGCTCAGCTGCTATGGTCCCTCTGACAATTACTGCTCTGGCATATTCACAGACATGATTCTATTTATTACAAAGAATTTCTTAAAGAACTAAAATTAGAAATTCCATTTGACCCGGCTATTCCCCTTCTGGGTATCTTCCCCATACAGTGACAGACATCATACCACTGATATACATGTACACCAATGTTTGCTGTAGCATGATTCATAAGAACTAGATCTTGGAAGCAACCTGTTTGCCCATGAATAGGCGAACAGATAAAGAGAATGCAGTATCTAGACATAATGGAATACTACTTGGCTACAAAGAAAGATAAATTCGAGACATTTGTAGGAAAATGGATACACCTGGAAAAATATAATGTTCAGTGGAACAATTCAGACAAACAAGCTTAGATACCATATGGTAGCTCTCATCTGAGTAAGGCAAAGTAAAAACAAAGGGCAAAATAAAGTACTTATAGAAGAAAACAAGGAGATGTATCTGTTGCAAATGGGAAGGGATCCAGGAGACTGAGGGGGAAAGGTGGGAGATAAAGGAAATAAAAAGATGTCAGATGTATTATGCACATGCACCAAACATCCACAATGAGTATAAATATTGTATGTCATAAACAGTGAGAATGAAAATGAGGAAAGAGGATTTAGAGATGGAGGGAGACGGGGGGGGGGGGGGAGAGACTAAAAGGGAATCAAGCTGTGCTATGTACATGCACCTGCTCCTTAAGGTGAAGTGCAAACTTAATGCACTGCAAAGATGTACTAATAAAAAAATCAACTACTTCACAATACCTGAGGAATTCTCTTTAGCGTCACATCTCACTGAAACCTCTCCAAAGAGTGAAGTGATTTCATGTCCAAATATCCTACAGCAATTTTCAATCAGAAATTGTATAAGCAGGGAAACCTATACGAAGACAAAATCAGAGTGCTACTTTTCATATAACATGTTTATAAATTACATTTCACATATGAATCCTGATTTCTAACAAAATACAAAAATCCTTAGGAAAAATATTTTGAAAGTATATAAAAATATAGTGTGTATTTTAAAAGTATACAAAAGATTCCCCTGAAACACTATGATATTTTACTTTCTTTTTTTTTTCTTCTTCTTCGAGACAAGGTCTTGCTATGCAGTTCAGGCTGCCTTGAGCTCACTTTGTAGCCCAGGCTGGTCTTGAATTTGCAGTGATCCTCCTGCCTCAGCCTCCCCAGAGCTGGGATTACAGGCATGCACCACCACACTCGGCAATACTTTACCTTCTTTTCCCAAGTTACTTATATTTTTGTTTTGCTTTAATACAACACGATCTTGCTATATAGTTTATGCTGACCTAAAACTTGCAATCTACGTAGCCCTTCACCCCTACTTCACCTTCCCAAGTGCTGGGACTATAGGCATGTACTACCATTCCTTTGCTCCAAAATACTCTTGAATCAGTGGACTCAAGTTATTATTTGGAGCCTCGGCTTAATGCTAACACTATACCAATGGCTCTGTCTTTAAAGTTAGAGTAATTGCAAGGTAATTTGTTCATAAGGTTTTTTGGGGTGAAGAAATACACCTTGTTATTAAAATTTATAAAGGATCAATAGATAATGCCTATGGAAAGTATTTCTGTGTAAAGGGCAGGTCGCTGTAAGCTTGGTTTAAGAGGGCTCCCCACGGTGTGCTATGAAGGAGAGCAATAACTAGAAAGCAAACGTGTGCTTTCCTGACTAGTTTCTAACTCACGCATTGCCTAAGGCTACACACCCTTAACTGGAGTAGGTGGGCAAAGACTGAGATATACTAGAACCTCTCTGCAGTTTCCCTGCTCCAATAGCTGAGGCCAAGGGGCAGAAGAAATGTGGGAACCAATGGAAAGTACACCTTCAAACGCCGTAACACCTGGGCACTGCCGGCGTGTGATTTCAAGTAACTCCTGCAACACCACCACCTCCATTTTTGAAGGCAAGAACTCAGTAAGTCTGTGTGACTAACTTCCCCCAGGATTGTCCATGTGGCAAACAGTGCGGCAGGGAAGTAAATTTTTACTTGTTTAACTCTAAAGTTTACTTTTTTAAACAACTGCTTTCTTACCAGCCTATGGTTTGAGTCAGTCCTACTGTTTAGCTTCCTTACAGGGAAAAGAAAAATTAACTATTACTTTTTCACTTATACTGGATACCTTCCTATGGTCTACAGGACAGAAAAGAACATCCATAGTAAGCTCAATTTTCTAGGGAGGAATAGTTATCTATGAAACTGTTTTTCAGAATACCATTATTTTCAGCTTCAAAATGGGTTTTTAGTCCCTCAGGGCATAACAACATAAAAAGTCATTACCTTCTTTGTGAATTCATGTTCTAGTTCTGGGCTGGAGGGAGTAGGAGGCCAAATGAGGCTTGGAGTGACACACACCGCCAAATTAAATGCATTCATCTGATTGGTTGAGGAATTTTTCTCAATGTTATATAATACCCCAAACAGGTATCGTAGGAGAATGACATTGGCTCTCGGAAGCTGGTCCAATAGTCTAAAGACAGAAAAATGTGCTCGTTAAGCAAGACATTCCGCTAAAAACAGACACCCCTCCATGTGTATAGAGAACCATGCAAATCAAAAGGGCAAACCAAGAGCACAGTTCAGATGTGCAAGAGTTTCAGTTATGGTCCGTGCAAAGTGAGCAATACTTATGCAGAAAGATCATCAGCATTAGGAGTTACTACTTTTGGTACACTGTTTTCATAACTCAATGTAGAAGAAAGCAGAAAAATGTCTCATAAAAATGCTGCCTGAAATATTCCCTGGAACTAGGACCGCATGCTTTAACTTAGGCAAATTTTGTAATATTCAGTCAACACCCACACTTTTTTTTCTAATGAGATTAAAATGCTCTTTCATTTCCAGGTAGCACCACAGGAGTGCGGTCTCCTGAGAAGAGCCAGCTGTAGTCACTAAGACTCCAGATCATTCTGAGCCCTTGCGCTCTGCTCTACCACCTTCTAGTATCAATTCTGTTTCAAATACCTGTTCACAGGTATCACTTTCACATAGGAGTCAGGTTTGTAACAGTCTACTCTCTACTGTTACCACTGTGAAATGATAAAGGATTCTCAATGATCATTCACTGAAAATGAGTTTTAATACTGCACAGAAAACATATATGAAACATAAACACTGATGTCATGACTTGCTTTTTTCTGTGAGAAGTTTCAAAGGTCGGGAAATAAGGTAGTGTAACTCCTGGTGCTAAATAGCAGAGGCCTTTCCTCAGTACAATGGACTGACAATGAGTGTGGCTGATAGGGCTAATTAGGAAAGACTGAAAAAGACCAGAAGATTGACTGCATTCAATGTAGCACACGCTTTTGGGTTATCTAATTCTAATGGGGTCCCTTTGTCTATGACCTAGCTTACAACTCTAAGTTGTAGGTAACTGAGAGCAGTGCATCTAATACTTGTGTATAAATTAAATTTTATCTGGCAGAGAGACAACTGGTATGCACCCATCCTGACTGAAAAAGCCAGTTTTGTACCTATTTGTGAATTCATTTCAGCATTTCTGATTAATCTGTTACAGGCTATGGTATTCTGAAATCTCCTTTGAACTGGCTATAATATCTTATTGGTTCTTTCATTAATTAATGATTTAAATCTTTCATGTTTATTAATAAAATGTCTCAATCAATGAGCAACACAATACGGAATTTGATGTTACTACCTGAATGGTTTACACCAAGCTACAAAACGGAAGCAGGTGTAGCACTTTGTTACATGGCTTTGAGTTCTGGTGTCTTCAATAGCTGTCCAATGTCCTATTGATAAAAACATCTAGCAACAGCAGTGTGTAGATAATATTTAAATACTACTCTAGGAAAAAACAAATACATGCAAACAAATACTAAGATTCATGGGTTTTCACAGAATTATAGTATTGCCTTTTGCCTTCTTTCCTATCCTATTACAGAAAATATATAGGAACATGGAGAGTGTAAGTTTACTAGCAACTTCCCTGTGTGAGTTTAGACACGGGTTCTTTGTAATCAGACTAAAACTATGCAACTCCCTTTTTCTATGACATTTCTCCAGGAGTGAACTGCTTCTCTGCTATGCTTCCACAACACCCTCAAAATATCTTTTACAGCACTGATTATACTGCACTGTAGTGTCATTCTCAGTTTACTTAACTATGCTACTGGACTGTGAATTACTACAGGAGGGAGAGGTAACAGGTCATTTTCTGTGCTTGATTTCACTTGCTGAATGGCATATATAAGGGGTTCTGTGTTTAAATATTTCCCTAGATTAGTCTATAGTATTATGTGGATTAATGGATTTTTATCTCCTACATTCAGATATACAGGTGTACATGTTCAAGTGTTTCATGTTAATAAGACTAGAGAGAAAAACAGCAGCAATGACAGAAGCAGCAAAAATCCATCTTAAAATATGACTTTGAGTATTTTAATAGGCAAGCTTATAAAACATATATTTTTGAGGCATGAAGAAATCAGGAGAATTACCTTCGAATTGTATTTATTTTCTCTTCGTCATTTCCTTGATCCATTACACAGACCCAGTGATCATAGATATCTGACAGAAAAATACTTCCAGGAATATTTCGTAGAAAGTCCTTACATAGATGAAAAAACAAATATTTTAAATCATTCTCATGTAAAATATGTAGTAGAGGAATTAGTAAGTATTTTGTTCAGCAGTCCTGCTTCTTTGAAGTTCACAGGCTGTGCCAACTCTCCACTGACTTGTTCCACACAGAATCACATGTTTTGATTTTTTTTTCTAACAAAAAAAACCCCACTGGGATAATAAGTCTGCATTATGGTGAGAAAAATATAGGACAATTTTTTGAGCTGAAAAATCCTGTTTATGCACATTTTATAGTAGAATAGCATGACAAGATCTGGCAGTAGCATCCTATATATTTTTTCCCCTTAAGTAGCAAGTTCAAGGAAATGCACCAAGATGCCTGTGACGTTCACAATCAGGTAACCATTCATTCAATCATTCCAAGTTTTGTTCACTTCTTTATCCCAAACAATCAAACAGTGTCTGGCACATTTGAAAAAAAATGCAAAGTCTTGGTTATTTTGGAATATCATATTCCAGTGGTATTGCTGTATAACTGCGTCAAGGTACTTACAGATTTTTCCCTGTGTTTCCCATAAAAGGACTAGCATGTATTTTGGGGAAGAAAACATTCTAAGTGACGGCTAGGATCTGGGAACTTAGAGCAGCACCCCTAAGCTGACGTACACTGCACAGCGTGTCTCAGGGCATTATCCTCTCCTGGAGATTCATTCTCTGAGAACACTGTGTGGGACTTAGTGTGATAAAACCGCATAATGACATAAACAGACTATACCCAGGGTGTCTGTTGTTTGGCTTTTGTTGACATAAAGCTTAAAAGTAAACCAAACTTGGTCTTAGAGCTTTGGTTTGAGGCCAAAGCTCTGTTGCTTTGGGAATGATATTTAGATCTTCACCTCAGTAAACTTTAGGTAGAACTCAATTTAAAGTCTAAAAATTGTACCCACGGTGGGCTACCTCTTGCAAATTCCTGTTTATAGGTGAAAATCTAAAATACTCTTGCTAGAAAACCAAATGAACGACTTTATCAACATGCCTTACGGAAGCCTGTTACTTGTATATCATGTTCATTTCTAGTATGGAAGCTGGATAATGCACTGTTACAGTCAGTCAATTATGCAAGCATCTCCCTCACTATACACAAGCTCCCTCAGCACAGGGACAGATCCTCACCTTCTTTATAACTATAAATGTCAAGCAGCGCCCCAGCTATATACTACCGGCCATTACGGAACTATTATAATGTCTCACAGGGCCAAATATTAAAGGGGGACAAGGAAAGGCCAAGCATCTACAGTGCAGCTGAGATGCTAAGGTAGCTTTCAGAGCTCATTGGTACTTACAACACTCTATTACTGTACTTTGTAAGAGCAGTTAGTAAGTATGAGATGGACTGTTCCAAAGTCTTTTTTAAATTATATATCCTGGTAGAGATGTACCTCGTTCTTGTGGCTCAGATACATCATCACAAAAAAAAAACTACCTCTTTTTTTGAAAGCTACTGAATTTTCATAATTCCAAACTAAATTTAGATGCTGCACCTACTCTAAAAGTCAAATTTAGAAGAAGCAAAGTCAGTTACTTCAAACTGGGGTAGTGACATTAACTCTTAAAAAAAAAACTCAGTGGAAAACATACTTATCTGTCTTGAAGAAAAACATCATTGAATCTTAAACCTATACTTGAAAGACATCTTAATGAAACTTGTAACATCTTAATGAACTCTCCCACAGCTGGAATAACAAGTTATGAAATATAACCACCACCACAGCTGAGAAATATGTGAGAAGCTGGTAGTGAATTGCAAATACTGCCTTGCAGTACTCAATTGATGTCTTCCTTGCCTTCTATCCCAGGGCCCTGGTCATCAGAACTCTCTAATTCATCTAAGTGCTGTGGATGAAATATAAATTTTTCCTCAAAGTTTTGGTACCTCAGGCAACTTTGGTCAAGTTATAGAATGAAGAGTTAAGATTGTACTTAAGCAAAACCAGTATATGTGAAAAATTGAAGGAGAACTTCAGTACTTCAAAATAGTCTTACAAAAAAGAAAGCTGTATCAACTAAAAAAAGTCCAAACTTTTGGCAAAAATTATCTCCGGAAATCACTTGAAAGAGGACTAAAATAGTTAAACAATGATGAGACTTCAGTTCTCTAAACCTCATTTAACTAATTTATTCAATCGTTTGCATCATTTTTGGGGAGTCTTGTCTTTGGACACACAACATTCCTAGTTTGAAACACAACTTAGCTCTTATACAATCACATTTCTTTGCAAGACTTCAACAATATAGCACACATTTTTAAGAAGTATGGTGCTCTGAAGAATTGCAAGGACATTTTTCTAATACACAGGCTTTACCTTCCTAAATTAAGGGACGGGAGATCCAATTATCGAGAAAAAAAATTCACGGTGCATTTATATTTGTCATACCATTATTGTAAACCAGGACTGAAGAGTAATCAAAATCCTGTACACAACAGATTAGATGACCCTAGCTCCAGTTCTGAGTGATACTTTATTTAAGAATCCACAGCATGGTTTAAGAGCAGGTATGGTCCATTACCAAGAAACACCAGATTTTTCAAAAAGTCGTAACGTTTATTCTACAAGCAGCAGGGCACTCAGCTGGAACAGGGGTATGCAACTCTCGACCACAACTTCCTGAATTTGGTTTTTATGCCCCAGACTGAGGCCTTCTGTAGCCTAGTTGACTGCATACAAGTTTTTGGAATTAGGAGCTTGAAGCAGGTTTGCAGAAATTACTGCTAGGTTCAAAAGCTGGTTTTGACTTGAGGTTTTCAAAAAATGTAGGCTATTTCCAAGAATGTGGGGAAGAAACTATTTTAGAAGATGAGACTTACATAAGCATAGGTGAAGAGTAAAAAACATAAAGAACGCCAAATGTACGATAGGCAAAAGAGGGCCCAGATGTGGGGATAATTCCTATTCCACTTCTAAGTAGAAAGCATCAGGGATTTAGGGGAAGGAATATTTATGGGGATGATTACAGATACGAATGGAATTTTCAATAGGCTCAGCAATCTTTTGTTTCAGTTGTAAGGCAAATAAATGGTTATTATGGTAAACTTCTATAACTAGTTTCACTAGCTTAGTAAGAATTTAGTTTTGAAAACTTTGCTTTCATTAGAAACACAGTGAGCTAGTAGAATCACCATAAGCAGGATGTTTGTTTTGGTAAAGATGGTACAAGTTCCTTGATTATTTTAAACTTTAAATTTTGCTTTTGTGCTACGGGTGGCAAGAGTTAACATAAAGAAATTAGAAGAAAGAAACATATCTGATGTCGTTCACTGGTGGTGGGTTTTAAAGTGCAACAATGACTTCATGAAATATTTTCAATGCTTTCCATGTTCTAAGTCTATTCTCTCTGCACATATGATTAATGTTCCTAATGACACAAACCATCTACCCTACTCCAGAACTACATGATGGGGTATATAAAAGGTGAACTTTTCTTACCTTTAAGACAGACGCTATCACAAAAATGGATTCACAGTCTAGGTGTACTTCGACTCCAGAATTCAGTTTCTCTTTTAGCTCTCTGCAGGATTTCACATTGGCTGACTGTCTGAAGATGCCCCTTGTAAGGGGGCCTTTTCGATTAAGAAAGAAAAGCATATCCTATGGGCAAACAGGACAAAGAAACAGAATGATGCCTTCACATATAAAGAAGGGAAGAGGTACATGCTTTGTCTGGTTGCCAGAGGCCGGGAAGAAAGCAATGCAAGACTGGCGCTAGCCCTTTCCGAGAGGACAGAACGGTGTTTACCAGAGCTTGAGGGCCTGATGGTGCAGGGGGACAGCGGTCCAAGGATACGAATTTTAGTTAGACAGGAGGAAAACTTTCAGGCGACTTATTGTATAACATGGTGATTATAGTTGATAAAAATGTACTACATTTTTTAAAAACTGTGGATTTTGCCAATTTTCTTTAATTTTGCTTTCTGTTTATATGTTCTCCCTGCAATATAGGAAGACAATGAATTTTGAAGAAACCAATCCATGCTTTTAAAAGCCAATTATGTCACTTATTTACTGTGTAACATTCTGTAAGGTTCCAAGGCTTTCTTTTGTTTGTAAGGTAAGGATGATAATGACAACTACTCTCTAAATCTATTGTGACTGATACAATGATAAAGTGGCTGCACTGGTGTCCAGGACATTCACAGGTACAGCAGAACATAAAGTGCCACACACCTATTACAGTGTCAGGGTCACAATGAATACTCAATTAATATTGCTTAATAGTGATCATTTAATGTATCAACTGGAGGTATACAAACTTAGTGGTTTGTATAGTCCATTCTAAAGGATGGTAAAATGCCAGAGTATATAACCTGATGTTTAATTATTTGAAGGAAAATCAGTTTTCAAAACTTTAAAAGACTGAGAAGTCTCTGCTTAGTGTTAAATTGAGATTTTCAGAACAATGTGGAATTTCAAGAAACAATTTGTGAGGGATAACGTAGATTTTCTGTATATGGAGCAAATCAAATTTATCTCCGCAGGCTTCCATCACTTTCTTGACACTAGCAGACTAGATTATTTCTTTATGTCTTTCTTTTCATTTCGGGGAGTGGGGGTAAGTAAGTAAAAGACTGTTAGCAAAGCCAGGCTAAAGCCAGGGTGTTACAATTTTTCCATTTGGGACAAATTCACTTCCTAGATCTCTCTTTCCCCAAACTTCCTTTTCCATTAGTTTACAGGTCCAGCTGAGACTCACCAAGACAGACTTTGGCAGATTGTCATTTTCACAAATATCTTGCAGAGAAACTCCGAAGAGCTGGCCCGGTATAGGAGACGTTGGCGACACGGGCAAGTTGTCCAGGTGAGTGCTAGAACCCCGCCAGAAGGCCCAGTTTATGATAGATCTTCTCCTCCTGACTGTCTTCTGACCTGAATCTAAGAAGTGGGATTATTAAGAAAATTAGTTTAATTCACTTAACCTTATTTGTATAATTTCCATTTTATAGTATGTTTATTATAGTGAAGGTTTTAATAGGGAACAAGACTAGTAGTTGTGGGGAGAAAAGTATATTAATAAATGTGAAAAGGGAGGAACAAAGTATTAAAGGCTTTCGATCAGAGTAAATCACATCTATCTAGCAGGAGGGAGTAATTCTAGAACCATTACACTGAAGTTAGATTTTGAATGAATATTTCAACAAATAGAGAATCCAGAATAGTACCTTTCAGCCAGCACTTAATAAATCACTGCTGAATAACTGAAATTGAGGAAAGGGTTATGTGGAAAAAAATAACATTAGCAAAATAGTAATAAGCCAGCCAGCCAGAGAATGATTTCATGATCCCATAGTGCCAAAACATTTCTGACATCATGTATGTCTAACTTTAACATCGACGGTAATGGGTTTTCAACTTGAACATAAAAAGACAGCTCTTTAAAATTTCACTTCTAAAAGTGATTGACCCTTTTCTCCTTCCCACTCCACAGCACACAAGCACAGATAACTATAAACTCTGGACAAACAAACCTGCTTGAAGGCACCAAAGAATGTCCAAAGAATGCAGACATTTGAGGTACAAGTGTGACACCTAAAAGGAGAATGGCATGGAACCTGGGTGAGTTTCTCATTCTTACAGCTTTATATGAGGAGAGGCCCTGGGACTGCGGAGTGGCGAAATCTCGAGAGAAGCCTGCATTCTTACTGGATTGAAGGAGAGAAGAGAGACAGATGTAGCTGCTGCAGCTGGAAAGTGAAAAGGGACTACACAGGAGAAAATCTTGTTGCAGGATCTTCAAACGTTGTGGATAAATGCTGTTCACTTTTCTGGCTGTCACCTGAGCCAGGCATTAATGAGGCAGATCCAAAAGAGCTTACAATTATTTAAGGAGCCACCACGCCCAGTCAACACACACTCATCATCTGACGCTTGTGAGAATGTACGGGAATTGGCCATTAAACTGGCTGTATGGGAACTGTATCAATCAGGGTTTTACTAGAGAAACAGATATAACCCAAGATGTACAAATGCGTAAGAAATTACATGACTGGCTTACAATGGGCAGCCACAGAGCTGGATGAGGAAGCATGCAGAGGGTGTCTGCACACTGGAGGCTGAATGATTTAGTCCAAGGTCTGAAATTCACTGTAGCATTCCATGCAAGTCTGTATAAGGAGGCTGATGGGTCTGCAACAGAAGGCTAATGAGTCTACACTGGAAGGCTGGAGGATCCAAGGCGGAAGCCGAAGAGTCTGCACTAGAAGCCAGGAGACGATGTCCAAACTGAAGGTGAAGCCTGGAGCCCCTCTGTCCCTCCTCATTTCCCTTTTATATCATCTAGGTGATGATACACCCTAGGGTGGCTCCTCTGTACCCTAGGGTGTAGAATCTCTGAGCCAACTGCTAAGCCAAATTTAGTTAGGCTTCTAAACTTCTCAAGTTGACACAATCAATCAACCACTACAATCCATCTTGTAAACTTGGCCATCTCCAGATACAAAGACATGCATATAATTGTGCCTAACATGTTATAGCTATCCTTTATACAAACGGAAATGCACTAATTCCCTCACCTGAATAGAATGTAAGTTTTCTTTGGTTGATGCTTACACTTATAATTTCATAACTTGTACATTATAACACAGGTTTAACAATCCTTAAGAACCAGTATTAAGCCTATCAATATTATATTATATCAGGACCATATAGAGGAGAAATAGTACAATTATAATCCTCTTTGCTGTAGTGGATCACAGGGTTGTAGCTGGTATTGAGACCTACCTTCTTTCACTACCCATTCTGTATTCCCTTCACCTTCAGCAAGCACCTCAGCTGGTCTTGGTTCTTTTCCTGGTGGAGTGACTCATACCTTCATTCCTGAAGGTTCTGTACCATTTGTCATTGTGCTGTTGTAGTTTCCTACTGACTTTAATAATAGGGCAAGGTAATACTAAGAGGTGCCCTAAGGGATCTCCTGCACTCCACATATATTCTTCCTTTCCCCCTTTGTGGAGTAGTCGTCCAATTTTCCCTTGATAGTCTGGGTCAATCACCCCTGACAACACTGACTCCCTTCCAGCTTGTTTCCTCAGAGGCATGAGGAGATCAAAATGACCAAGCGGAAATCTTAGCTTCCAGTTCAATGGTATCATTGCTGTGCTTCCTGGTGCAAGCCTTCCCCCTTCTGGAATTAAGACTTCTAAGCCAGCAGAACATAAGGTCGTAGGGACAGGAAGCAAAAATTTTGCTAGTGGATCAGTAGGGGTAATGGTGAGTGGTACCATTCCCACTTCCACCCCCTGATTCCTGGACCCATGAATCCTGGCAATGGGGGACACAGTGCCACACAGTGGACGCTGACTCAAAACATATATAGCCTTTCGAAGTACCTTACCCCAGCCGTGCAAGCTACTGCCACCTATCTGGCACTGTAATTGTGTCTTCAGAAGACCATTCCACCTTTCTCTCAATCCAGTTGTTTCTGGATAGTGAAGAACATGATAAGACCAGTGAATTCCATGAGCATGAGCCCACTGCCTCACTTCTTTGGCTGTAAAATAGGTTCTTGACCAGAGGCAATGTTATGTGGAATTCCATGGCAGTGGATAAGGCATTCTGTGAGTCCATGGATGGTAGTTCTGGCAGAAGCCTTACAGTACAGTGAAGGCAAATCCATAACCAGGATGCTTGTCTATACCAGTGAGGACAAAGTGCAGTCACTTCCATGATGGAAGTGGCCCAATATAATCAACTTGTCACCAGGTCACAGGTTGATCACCATGGAGAATGGTGCCATATCTGGGACTCAGGGTTGGTCTCTGCTGCTGGCATACTGGGCATTCAGCAGTGGCTATAGCCAGACCAGCCTTGGTGAGTGGCAGTCCATGTTGCTGAGCCATGCATAACCTCCATCCCTGCCACCATGGCCACTCTGTTCATAGGCCCACCAGGCAATGACAGGGGTTGGGGAAGAAGGAGGTTGGCCACTATCCACAGAATGGGATCATCTTAACCACTTGATTATTAAAGTCCTCTTCTGCTGATGCCAATTTTTGGTGAGCGTTTACATGGGAAACAAATATTTTTACATTCTTTGCCCATATCCGTATCTCTTCCCCAAATATCTTTGTCATTGATTTTTCAATTATGTTCCTCCCAAGTTCCTGACCATCCGGCCAGACCACTGGCTATGGCCCATGAGTCAGTATACAGTCGCACATCTGGCAATTTCTTCTTCCAGGCAAAATGTACTGCCAAGTGCACTGCCCAAAGTTATGCTCACTGTGATGACTTCCCTTCACCACTGTCCTTCAGTGATGTCCCAGAAAGGGGCAGTGATGTGCAGCTGTCCACTTGCAGGTGGTGCTGCATAGCATGCAGAGCCATCCGTAAACCAGGCCCTAGCCTTCTCTTCCTCTAACAGCTGACTGTATGGTACACCCCACAAGGCCATAGGTGCATGCTGGGAAACAGAAGGCAATATAGCAGGTGCAGGAGCCACAGGTGTCTGGGCAACTTCCTCATGTAATTTACTTGCATCCTCTGGACCTGCCCTGGCTCAATCACGAATATACCACTTCCACTTAATGATAGATTGTTGCTGTGCACGTCCAACCTTACGACTTGGTGGATCAGACAATACCCAGGTCATGATAGGCAACTCAGGTTGCATGGTGATCTGGTGTCCCATAGTCAAGTGTTCAGTTTCTACTAAGGCCCAATAGCAGGCCAAGAGCTGTTTTTCAAAGGGAGAGTAGTTGTCTGCAGATGATGACTGAGAATTGCTCCAAAATCCTAAAGGCCTCTGCTGCAATTCACCTATGAGGGCCTGCCAGAGACTCCAAACAGCATCTCTACCTACCACTGATACTTCAAGTACCATTGGATCTGCTAGATCTGCCCAAACACAGCCTTGACCTGTTGTAGAACCTTTTCCTACTCTGGGCCCTATTCAATATTAGCAGCTTTCTGAGTCACTCGGTAAATGGGCCAGAGTAAGACACCTAAGTAAGGAATGTGTTGCCTCTAGAATCCAAATAGGCCCACTAGGCATTGTGCCTCCTTTTTGGTCACAGGGGAAGCCAGATGCAACAACTTATCTTTTATCTTAGAAAGAAAATCTCTACATGCTCCACACCACTGGACTCCTACAAACTTCACTGAAGTAGAAGGACCTTGAATTTTTGTTGAATTTATTTCCCATGTTCTGGCTCTCAAATGCTGTACTAACAAATCCAGAGTGGTTGCTACCTTCTGCTCACTAGGCCCAATCAGCATAACATCATCAATACAATAGACCAGTGTGATATCTTGTGGAAGAGAAAGGTAATCGAGATCCCTGCAGACACAGGGCTGAAGAATACATATACCCCTGAGGTAAGACAGTGAAGGTATATTGCTGGCCTTGCCAGCTGAAAGCAAATTGTTTCTGATGGTTCTTATGGATAAGTATGGAGAAGGCATTTGCCAAGTCAATAGCTGCATACCAACTACCAGGGGATGTATTAATCTGCTCAAGCAAAGTAACCACATCTGGTACCACAGCAGCAATCAAAAGCACCACTTGATTCAGTTTATGGTAATCTACTGTCATTCTCCAAGACCCATCTGTCTTCTGCACAGGCCAAATGAGAGAATTAAATGCAGATGTGGTGGGGATCATAACCCCTGCATCCTTCAAGTCCTTGATGGTGGCACTAATCTCTGGAATCCCCCCAGAAATGCGATACTGCTTTTGGTTTACTATTTTACAAAGCAAAGGCAACTCTAATGGCTTCCATTTGGCCTTCCCAACCATAATAGCCCTCAGGCTACATGTTCTATCTCAGTTACTTTTCTCTTGTTGCTGAAACAAAATAGCCAGTGCCCAAAGTTAAAGAAGGAAAGGTTTATTTAGCTCACAGTTTGTGGAGATTTCAGTCCATACTCGGCTGGCTCCAAGGCAAGTGGCACATGGCATAGGGCAATAGTTCATGGCAGCAGAAGACAGCAAAAACAGCAAGAGGAAAAAGGGAGGAACAGGCAGGAAGAGCAAGTTTTTCTTTCCTTACATTGTATGCAAACTACCTGCCCCAGGGCAGGTGTAGCACTGATACCCATAATCCCGGCAATGGACCTCGGATCAATCATAAACTCTAGAAGCCTGCCCCACGACTGCATGAGGCTTTGGGGGACATCCACGCACAAACTGTAAGAGCATTCTTATGCCATCCAACCAAGCTACCCCCAAATGATGCTTAGCTCGCCAGTATTTCTTATAATGGAACACAAGGACATGGTCAGCAGTGTCAAAAGCCAATTTCAAAGTTTTCCATATTGTCTGGATATGAGGTAACTCACCATTTTGATTACTCAGAATAACCTACTTAAACCAAATATGAAACAAGCCAAATTATCGTAGGATACTCAAATGAGCAATATTTCACCAAATGGCCTTAAAACCAACCACCTTCTTCTGCCTTCTCTTGCAAGGGCTTGGATCACAGTGATCTTGATTAAAGTGGACATGACACCAGGCTTTCCTTGGTCTAAGGACCTCCTCTCTGCACCCACTCAGTGGATCAACAGCATTCATTTGGAACACCATGCACACATGCAGTACCACCATTCTGCTTCACTAAAGCGTTTTCTTCCCGCCCTGACACTCCCAATCACCATCATTAAAACACAAAACAGAAAAAGAAACCACCCTTTCTTAAATCCAGGACGGAGTTGCTGTATGTGTAACAATCTGTGCAAATATTTGTTCAATATGTATGTTAACATACATGCTGAGTAACTGTGCTCAGTCTGGTTTGTGAATATTAATATGGTTTTATTCTAAAATTATCACATTTGAGCCTGGGGTATAGCTCAGTGGAACAGTGGCTGCCTGGAAACTGTTAGATCATGAGTTTGATTCCTGGTACCAAAAACTAAAAATAAGAATAAAATTAAATTAAATTATCACATTTGGATTTTAGATTTCATGCACTGCTGAAGAAAAATGCTCTATCAACAAGTTATATACACCAAGCTATCTTATAAATGCAGACCAAAGATAAAGTAGAAATTGAGTTCTTTAGTTTTTCCTAAATACTTTCAGCTGTAGCCATGCCTTGCATTGTATACAGCATCTGATCTGAAAACTTAGGTCTGAGACTGAAAACATTCTTTAAAGTTCACTTTGTTGCAGAACTCTTAATGTATAGTGCTTATTTTCTTAAATGTCCAGTGCTAATAAAAACATGGTACTGTCATAAAAAACATAAAGATAATATAAATCTAAAATACATTGAATTCAGGTAATGCTAGCTTTCCTAAATAACCCCAGCAAGACTCAGGCTTGGTGCTGTTTTTCATGCTTAAATCAGAAAACCAAATATTAGACAGTATAACTGATGAACTATATGCTTACAGAATAATAGTCACAATGAAAAAAGCTTTCTATTCTGGCCATATAACTTCTCAAATTAAGAATATTTTCTCTGCAGAGTAGGAAACTGATACACAAGAACATTACACTGATACAGCAAAAAGGCAGAAGATGTGCCCCATAGCCTACCATCTACCATGAAAATTTAGTTTAATTGCAGTTTAGTTCAAGCAAATGTGGAAAGTGAACCTGTTGCTGGCACAGAACTGGGAGCACAGTTCAGGCCTGGAACCCTGCCGAGAGAGACCACGCCCCTACTTATTTCCAGAGCTGTTCGGCTTTACTCCAGTTTTTCCATGCTAGGTACAACTAAGCTATTTAATCGTTCATTTAACTCTGGCTGTGTGGTACAAACTAGGCTAAACCGTGGACTGGGTTTGCAGGTTTTAAGAAACACATATTCTAAAAATACATGTAAATACATAAGCAAATAGGCATAAACTTTTTTTAAAAAATACATTTTACTGGATGTAAGTATCAAGTGCTCTGGAGACATTAAAATGGGGCAAATACCTACAAAAAGAAAGAACTTCCTAGAAGTGACATTTGAGTTGGGTCCTGAGATCAGATATTTGAATGTATACATTTTGAACTCTCCACTTACACTGGAGTCATCTCACTGGGAACCAAGCACCCCAAAGACAAGTTAGGGTGATCCAAGTCTCCAGGATGGCCCACCAATTGCTACTTTATCTGCAGTGTAGGACTGTACAATAGGAGGTGTTCTCCACCCTGAGGGAGGAATTTGTAAAGAAAAGACTGGGGATGACTGTGTGCACCTAAGGCTATGCTCCTCAACAGGGGTATTTTCCTAAAGCTAACTAGAGAAAGCCTCTGTCAGAAGCAGACCTAAAGTTCTAACTGTGGCTTATTTTATTCAGGTAGTTATTGTTGCCATCCAATATTCTCAAGGAAGTTAGTTTCCTCTTTTATACTCTGTTAACCACAAAAAGGGTATGATTTTCCACACAAAATATCTACTTCCTAAGACGAAGTTCTTAGGAACTTCAAGTTTGAGTTCTGTGGATTTTACGTAATGTACGGCACTTTGATAATCATACTGTCGTATATCCTGTATCATCATAAAGCTGTGTGAGTAATGACAATCTCTCTCTTCACACTGGCGTGGTGGCATCACATTAGACAGCAAAAGCTGTAACAGAAGCAACGGGACTGCGGGCTGCAGGACGGAACTGTAAAGTGTTGTCTTACAAAGTGAGTAAGGCTAACAGCCTACACCGTGGGGCAGTGAGGTCTCGTGACAGGAGCAGAGACTCGAGGACAGAGATGTATGCGAAGTTCCAGCGTCCTGCTGCACACTTCGGAACGCTGGACACAGTCAGAGTCTGCTCGTGTAAAACGTAAGTTAACGTAGTCTTAAATGGTTGTTTTGAAGCTTAAAAGAAAGTATAGTATAAATTTTTAAGTTCTATGTAGAAATTATTTGATAATATCATAAAAGTATCACCCAGAGGCCAGTAACTTCATTTGTACAATTTTTAGACTGTTTATGGTTTTTTAGTCTTTCCCACGTGCCTTCTGGATTTTCCATTTCTGATTAAAACGCTCCAAAAGATGTAGGAGAATGAAGTGGAGTGAGATGATTATGTTACTGCAAAGCTCTCTTACAAAGTCTGGTAGAATAGTGAGAGTTTAGCTGGAATGTTTTTGACTAAATTTGCATTTTAATCTTCTAAATCAAAGAGTGGCAAACTGCTACACTGGCCTGGTATCACTTTAGATAGCCTGTGAAGAATAGTTTTTACATTTTTAAAAGGTTGAAAAAAATCCAGCTAATATGTAGTGATACATAAAAATTAAATTCCAATTCTCCTCTCCATGAGAGCGTTGAATACAACCGCACTCCCCTGTTCGTGCACTGCCCTTGGCTGTGCTTGCCTCCACTCCACGGCAGGGGCAAGCCGCTGCGACAGAGCTGGTGTGTGGCGGCTTATTTGCTCTGCTGCTCAGGGTACCACAAGCTTCAGTGACTCCACTCTACCTCAACACTGTTGTAATGCACCATGACACCACAGTATCTTATTTATTCATGTCCCTTGTTTTGATATGAGTAAAGTGGATTTCTGATGTTCATTTTTTTTTTTTAAGGCACAGTGAACTATGGAGGATTCTGTTATTGAATTAAACAACGAAGTACAGTGCTACCTTGTTGCGGTTTAAATGGTACCAAATTGTTTTGGCTGGAAAAAGTAGCAGGCCACAAAGCAATCAACACTGATGAGTTCTCACTTGTGCAAGAACCAGTAACAGAACAAAACATTTTCTTTTTTTGCTTCCCCGACTCATTTTTTTGTTTGGTTTTTGATAAAAGGTCTCCCTATGTAGCCCAGGATGGCCTTTAACTCACAGTGATCCTCCTGCCTCAGCCTCCCAAATGCAAGGATTACAGGTGTGCGCCACCACACTTGGCCAGGACAAAAGTTTTGGGTATCAAATTTGAGGAGTTTCAGAACAACTGAGTACAATGAGGTATGACTGCATCATGCTTACTGTACGATGGTATAAGGCTGTGGTAAAAGCACACACTATATATTATGTAAGCACATATCAATGGAAGAAAGCAATGATCAGAATTTACACATTTAAAATGTAAACGTTTCATCATGGCAGCATTCTTCACCACAATAATAAAAATGAAGCTCTAGCAAAAGCTTGAGGAGCTCCTGTGTTACCCAGTTCGAGGAAAGCCATTTAAGAATGGTGAGCTGATTAAATCTTGTGTGCTTGAGTAGATACAGAAATATGTCCAGGAAAAATTAGATTTAAGATTATTAGCCTTTTGGCGAAAACAGCTGATTAAATAATTCAGGACACTACAAGAATGTTCACGGGCAACTCAGAGTAGCGGGCCTGGGAGAGACTTCGGTAGAAATCCTGTTATTTTCCACATAATTATCAATACCAAAGGGCCACTCAGGGCATCAGCCCTTTGACAGCCATCACTGACCGCCTGCTCTCTGTAATATGCCCACTTAGAGGGAGCACACAGTGAAGTGCACTGGAGTACAAAAGGGAGTGGAAGCACCTGCAGCACAGCCTGAGCCTTTGGCTCGCCCAAGGTTAAAGGGCAAAGCATGGTGACGGAAGGACAGACTGTGATGCGGCTTACAAGTCAACGATGCCTGCTGCTGATTTGTAAAACCATCCTCTAAAACTCTGTCTTTTCTTTTTAAGACATTTATTAACAAATTAAAACTACCTCATCTGGGTCAAAGTTTGAGACTTTCCCTTTGCACTAAATTTGTGTTCAGGAATGAAAAGTTTTGCTGCAAAAATGCTCCATGATGGAGAAGCGACTCACCACTCAGATGCTGGGTGGCCGCCAGGCGGCTGGGCTTGAGGATGAACTGGCACTGCATCTCTCGGGGCAGCTGTTCCATGAGGAAGGGCTCTTGAAGGCTGGAAAGGGCGGCAGAGTCCTTCGATCCCTGTGCCAGAAGTGCGGTGTCTCGAAGGTGGTTCATTTTAATTCCATAGGGAAATTCATGCCCTGTAAAGACAGAAATCTAAGTGTAGACTTCAAGCTGAATGGGTAGGCACATGAGGTAGACTGCAAAGTACTGCAGTTCCCTCCTGAGACTTCTGGTGTGAAGAGTGTTTTTTTAACTGAATGACTTCCATGTATACTCTTTGAGTTGGAGGCCATTGTATAATGCAGGTTACCAAAGCAGTTTTACGGAGGGGCAAGAAAAAATGTTTAAAGAATATCTTATTTGGAATGACTGCATAAATCAGTTTGTGAACTGTACAGTGTTGACTTTTCTTGTCTGCATAAGAATATTTAAAGGCATTCTCCTGTTTTTTTTTTGTCTTTTTGAGACAGGGTCTCACTGTGCAGTTCAGGCTGGCCTTGAGCTCACTGTGTAGCCGAGGCTGGTCTCAAATTCGCAGAGATCCTCCTGCCTCAGCCTCCCGAGTGCTGGGATTACAGGTGTGTGTCACCACACCTGGCTAAAGGTATTTTCCTTTGACACCAACTAGATCTATAAATTTTCACACCCATGATTTAAATGTTTATCCTACGTATCAAGTATTATAGGGATCAAATACGTACACATGAGCATCTGAAATGATTTAAATAGGGACAAAGAACTAGAGCTATCAAGCATCACTACTCTGATTATCTAGCATGCCTGTCTGGGGGAAAAAAACAAAAAACATTTCAAGAGCATCTGGGACTGGTTTGTTCTGTGCTTCCTTTCCCCTGCTGCTGTAATCATAAGGAAGACCACAGAGAATTAGAAACACACAGGTGCAAAAGAGAATGTATAAAGCAGAAAAACTAAACCCTGGACATCTGACTAAACTGTGACTTCCATTCTTTGGTATCTAAATAATTGCATTCTTTTAGTGTCATCATAAATACTACCTGCTATAAATTCTTTAACTTAGAGAGTATGCTCCCCGATCACTGAATGTAACTCAGTGAACTCTTCATCTGGTATAGGTATAAAGTATAAACGTATTAATATTCAGACATTATAGCAATTCCAGGAATTAAGGCAAAAAGACCTATATAACAGTAATAATACAAAATTCATTTAGCAAATAGCCAGCAACTAATCTACAACTGTTTTAAAGGCACATAAAAGGGGAAGTAAAATCAATATGTGATACATATATGTATCACTACTCCACCATGAATATATTCATTATACATTGCAAACATAAAAAAATTGCTACCAAGAATAGGACAACCATGTCTCATGGCTTTTCAGTAAAAGCTAGTAATGAAAGTTGAAACTTGCAAGCCTAAAAAGTGTCATCTACCTACTTTTAACTAAATAAATCTGACTTAAATAATTTTAATGACAACTTTCATTGTTGCTCATTTACTTTTATAAAAATGACAACATCAAAAAAACAGACCCAAAATATGGTCAGTTTTGCACTCATCTCTGCATGAGACAATCTGTCAATATTTTCTCAAAACAAATGCTGGAAAATTTGGCTAAAGAAAAGTTCGCTAGTAAAGTAGTTAGTTGGTAAATCTGTCTGCAAAGACTTTTAGGAGTCATAATGAATTAATCTTTTCTGTGTGACCCCTAGGAAAGTTTTGGGAACAGGGCAGGTGCTGGACTGAGACGCACGACTGGATTAGTTTTCTGTACAGGCAGTGTAACTAACTGGTAGGAGAAAGAACACAAAAATCAAAAACTGAATATAAAAAAATGTATGGAGAAGAAGTAATACCTATATAATGTTTTCTTACAGAAAAACAGTTGACAAAACAGTTCTCATTTTAAAGTGAAAAAGCAAAAGGGAAAATATGATTTCTTTCCCAATTATATACCTTTTTAGCTGCCTGAGTGAAAAGATACTAATGCTTGGCATACAATAAATGCTTACCAGATACAACTACCTATCACATGAGATTTAATAATATTTAAGCTTAGGGCCATATGACCAATTCTGAGACATTTAGAACCATAATTAAAACACAATGCTACCTGATTTCATAGAAACTTACCAATGAGTGGGTATGGTGCTGCTTCTTTTCCAGAATTGACCCATAACTGGTAATCTCTCTCAGAACCCTAGGGGATTAAAAAAAAATAAGGGTCAAACTAAATTTTTTTATATTTGGTACTTGAATGAAGGAAATACATTTTTACATTTTTATGCTTTGCAAAAAGAAAAACCTACGGACAATATAAATGCTATTCAGGTTCATGGAATGTTACAGTTTTTTAAAATGGTACAGCACATACATTGATTCCTACAACCCATCTCTTACTATCCAAGAGGACTTGGGAACCCTGTTCTTCTGCAAGTGCTGAATAGGGAGCCACAAACTTTCATTGAACTAGACCCTCCCTATATCGAAAGCCTGTGGAATGTGAAATTGTAGGTAGCCCCTTTTGAAAGAACAACTTGCTAGTTCTCAAAAGCTAATCTCTTCTTGTGAACCCTCATTTTTGCAATGTTTCTGGACTTCAGAGAATGCTGAACCTGACCCTGAAAAGATAGCCTTGTTATCCAGAAGGGCCCAAACACAGCTGTGTCTATGATTAAAAAGTAAAATCTCAAAGGCTGATTATTAGCTCAGCTGCTTCTGAGCAGAAGGACCGAGAGGCTTTGGGGAGATAGGTAGTTGGCACGGTCTGTACTGGCTTTAGTTTGGCCAAGTCCAGTCGAGGGGACAGAAACAATTAGGATTCTATCTAGAGAACAGGCCAGTCATGGGGACAGTAACATTTTTCACTAGCAGAATTATAAGCCAGCAACATTATAAATCCCACTTGAAAGAAATAATAGTAAATTATACGACTTTGCTGAATCCTCTAAGAGGGATAAAGCAAAAATGTTTTAAACCAAGCTAGAACAGACAGCCAAGTGTGCTGGCAATATTTCACATTCTTGTCTGTAACTTCTAATTAAAATCATGACTCTGTCCTTTAACAGAGGCTCCTGGCTAAGGAGAGTAGCGCACAGACTGCCACCTGCCCCGCCCTGCTCCTTGCCGTTTGTCGTATCTTCCCTGCCCGATCCCCGTCAAGGAGGAAGAGAAATCTAATACAAATCTCTTCTTGTTAGCCAGGTGCGGTGGTACATGCCTGTAACCCTGGCACTCTGGGAGCCTGAGGACTGCAAGTTCAAACTCGGCCTGGGGAACAGTGACCGAGTGAAACTCCGTCTCAAAGCAAAATAAGGGGCTATGGGTGTAATTCAGTGAGAAGACCTTGGGTTGAATCCCCCTGATGTTTTTTAGCTTTATGTAGTATCTGAAAACACAGTAAAAGTCCCCAAGAACAGGTATAACCAAATAGCTTACATTCTTAATTAATGTACTTTTTTGATCTGAGTAGAATGATCACTCTTCTAAAGGATAGCATAGATAGGAAAATGAGTTATGTATTAATTTCCTTTCCTACCCCTAAAACTATTTACTCTCCTCTAAGATACATATAAAATAAATTAGAAATTGATGCAGGCATGCTTGCTTGACCTCATGGTTTTTGGTGGTTTTTTTTTTTTGTACCGGAAATCGAACTCAGGACCTTGTGCTTGCCAGGCAGGCACTGTGCCACTGAGCTATATCCCTGGCACCTGACCCCACGTTACAGTGTACACAAAATTTAATTATGTTTTAAATATATTACTGAAATTTACTAATAAGTCAGATTTCTTATCCTGAATTTTGGTTGCCCTGAGTTCTTAAGGGCCTAGCATAGTATTATGTAAGAGCATATCTAAATATAATCAATAATATTATGGCATATTTTAAATGTGTCATGTCACATCCCAGTAATAGTGTTTTAATAATAGAGAATCTCACAAAAAAGGTTCAAGTGTCTCCCTCAGTTTCCATTCTTCTAAAGGCTCTTCTCTTTACTAAAAGTGGTCATCAAGTGATGCTTATGTAACTGGCAGGAAGGCAAATGAGGAGAACCGTCCGTCTCTCCCCTACGCCTCACCCTCAAGTATTCTCATCTTTTCCACCAAAACCTCACCTCTACCCCAGAAAATAAAAGCAAAACAGGGAAGAGTATGGTATGAATTCTAAGGTTCTTCAAATCCATGCCATAATTCAAAGCTATCTTTTAAAAATTTACTAATCATAAAAGGTACCAGCCATCTTATCCTCACGACCTGCAGCCAGCCAATATGGCATACAGCCGAGTGCTGTTTATGTGAAGATTCAACTGCAGAGAAAGTCCTTCAGAATTTATCATCCTAAGATTGAGTCCTGCAGTAATAACAGGACAAGCAAATCAGGGAGGGGAACAACCAAATAGTGGCAAGAAAGAAGCGGGGAGGGTGGCTGAAATTTTCTTACTAACAGTCTTATACCATGAAATAGTCTTTCACCATGAAACTTTTGTATATGTGTATAACATAAAAATATATTACTGTAAAACTGTAGTCTAATCATATTATACTTTTATAGTTCCTACAGATTTTAAAATATAAAATGGTACCTATATATTATGGTAATATTAAGGCTTTCCTGCTTTGATTTTTTACATTTTGGGGGACAAAATATGACTTTAGTATCTGTAATAGCTGTCTTATGATCAAAGGATATAATACATCTAAATAAGCATTACTCTGAATCTAAAGTATCCACATTTATAATAAAGAATATCCAACAGAATAACTTACAGTTATTCCTAGCATTCGTAATGACATGGTGATAACTTCACTTGCTGTATCTGAATTCATTACTGTTATAGTTTTAGACTGTAGAAAAAAGAAATACAAATATAAATAATTTTAAGACAGGTGAACAAATAAGATTGTCAAATGATCACCCTACGCAAAGGAACATCTGGATTTCAAGTGTGGGCCGAGTAAAGCAAAGACTTCAGTGGAACAGCAGCTCCTGGCTGTGGGTTACTGTCACTGCTGCTATCTTAAGCTCCTTAATAACTTGCTTTCTCTTTAAAAGGGCGTGTGGCTCACAAAATATAGGAATTTATACTCAGTAATGTTTTTTACTTATTTATTTCAAAGAGAAAAGGATTCACTCCTTTTCTCCCTCTCCTCCCCATTTCCATAATGCAGTGGGAATTTTCGACAAAATTTTGTTTAGTACTGTTTTTGCACCATGGGGTTTTATTTCTTTGCATGTTATATAATCAGCTAAAGTAAACTCTTAAGAACTAGCAACAAAACATAATTAAAGCTTTAATTATTATTTTCTATCTGCCTGGTACTATGGCTACTAAGACTTTTATTGCTGAAATCTTTAGAAGACTTAAAATTGATGAATCTAGGAAAACGGACTGAAAATTTTAGAAAGCTCTATTCTATTTCCAACTGTCATTGAATAGGGTATCTATGATAGCTCTGTGCTAAATTACACTGAGACAGTTACTTGAAAAGAGCTAATCTGTAAGAAACAGAAAAGGTATTAAGATTCTGAGGTATTTATAAAGGTCACTGAATTCCAAAGATATTTCATACATGGTTACCCTATCAAAAATATATTTTGCTCTGCATGTAAGTTTTACACATGCCAACTATTGGATAACCAGCAATTAGGGTCATATAGCTGGTATGCAAGGCTAACACGGCATAAATAGCAAGGTAGAATAAATAACAAAATGTCATAAAATAGGACATAAAAAGTAAAGCTAAGTAAAATCCACTGATCATTTATCACTTGTCCTTCTATTATAGTATTTCTTCCCTCTGCCAACTACTTGACAGGACCAAATATTGCCAAAAGTTGCTTATTAATTGAATTTTAAACACTTTAAAAGCATTAACTTCAAAATGTGCTCCCTGCCACTCCAAGGATTACACAAAAGTATCTCAGGGCCTTACAGAGGGCTTGGAGTGCCTAACCCACAATCTATCTTCTTCCAATGTGGCACAGGAATACTATATACTGGACTTGAACTTTTAATCTAATTGCAAGATTTTTTTAAAGCTTGAAATCACTTCCACTGAATTTAAAGAACTCTCAAAGTCTTTCACATAGTGAGACTCTATCCTCTCAACACCTGGCTTCTACAATAATTTGTCTTATCATTAGGCACATGTTAAAAATAATTATTACAGAACATATATTTTTCCTTACATGGTTTTCTGGGAGACTAAACAAAAAAAATTTTGGAAGATAGAGCCCTTTAGCTAGTAAAAAAGTAACAAAACAGAAAAAACTGCAAGTGTGACTATGCAGTTCCATATTAGCAGAATTCACTGACAGGTTGTGTACAATTACCAGCCAAGGTTAAGACATACTTTACAAATACGGATACCTATCTGTAAGGGGATCACTCTCTGAAAGCAGGACTCCTCAAAAGAGATTCCTGCCTTGCATGCTACTGAAGAGGGCAAAATAGTGTCACTCATCCTTGACTTCTTCCCAACACTAGTGATAAAAGCAGAACCTCAATCAACCTGACCACATCTCTTGCAGAATGAAGAATGGGCCACCTCAAGCACAAACCTTCCATACATAAAGTGATCAAGGCATTTCCTACAAAATCCCTAATGTAACCAACTGCCACAACAACTAAATCAAGGCAAGGAAGGGAATCTTTCCCTACCTTCCCTGTCTCCCTCTTTTGCTTTTGCTACAGGTGATCTCTGTAGCCTCATACCATAAAAATTTGAGTATTTCCTCAAGGAGTGACCACTGGCACTTGGGAGTTAGAACATTCATGTAACTTTTGCCCAAATATAACTTTTGTGCTACATATTTCTCCACACACAAAACTTCTATTTGCTCTAGAGTGACTATAAAATATGACGATCCGTAGAAGCACAAAAATGTTTTCCTCATCGTCATCACTGATCATGTCTTGGCTTAATGTGTCGTATGTCCCAGATCATCCACATTTTAGCCTGAGGGATTTAATCCCTAACAGCTCAGGAGATGACCAACTTTTCAGAGCCACTCTTGATTTAAGAAGTGACAAGTTGGAAAAAAATTGCGTATACAGAAAACACCTCCTTGTGGACACAGCTTTACTATAAGCCTTTGTCCTCGCTATTGAAAAGATTTCAGAGGAACATTCAAGCCAGAGGGAAGAAAAAGACATCTGAGAAGCAATACTCTTTCCAAGTGTAAGTGTTAAATATTACTGTAAATAAAAAGTGTTTGTTTCATTTTCTCTAGGGTTTAATTTTCATACACGCAATGATGCCCGTCTCCAAGAACATGCACTGATCCCTGTGGTATTTTTAAACACCTGCCTGTCACAGCACCAACGCTGTCCACCTGCCTGCCTCTTTATAACCATGGAGCTTTCTGCCTTGTGCAGGGACATGGAATTTAATTTTCTAGCTGAGAAACACTTACATAGGCACAATTCCCAATGTCCTTGGCGAAGATTTTGAGGGGAATGCTCTTCGGGTGGTCCTTCTCTTTCTCTAGATTGATGTATCTAATCAAATGCAACAACAACCCAAAACAACACTGAGTCAGATGGCATTCACTAATGGCTCATTTTTAAAATCAATCTATTCTGTTACTATTTTAAAGATATGAATACGCTATTTTTAAAAACATCAAAGACTCAGCAAAGTCAGATTATATTATGGGTTGAAAGAGAATAAAATTTTCAGGACATTAGGCATGGACACAGAAAAGAATGGGACATCCATGTCAAGGAGGTCTAAGAAACGTAATTAGGTTAAAGCACCTCTGGGTGACATTTTACCCTTAACATCTGCCACCTCTGAATGAGTCTGGAAACTTGCTGTTAAGTACAAGACCACATATTTTATTAGGCAAATCAAAACAATGGCTTTTCTCGTCTCACTTTGTTCTCCCAGAAAGTGTAAATGTTGGTTTTCCCCAGCTTGTGGGGGTGCTGCAGTCTAACCAGGGAGTCTACATTGGCCATTTGGGTCCACAGGCTCAATAGTAACAATAATTATTGATTTTTGAGAGGTGCTGAGTGAAAAACCTTGCATTTATGAAAACTTAATACATACTTTGAAGAACCTGTTAGCTCCTGTTAGCTCCAAATGGTAGCTTAGAAACAACAGAAAGAGATTACTTATTTCCGTCTAAAATGAGTTCACTAGATCTTAATGTTCTCTTCCCAGAAAGAAGAAATACTTGTAATGAGAGAACATGATTTACAGCAAGTAGTAGCTAGTGTACAACCTACATACAGCCTATATGGAGGACAAGGGACAATTTCCACTAAGCAAGGGAATAGTTTGGGGCACATCTCTGCAGAAAAGTTTGTGTACTGGCAATTAAAGGTTAAAAGTAAGCATATTAAAAGATACCTCTGAAGGAGAAAGAGCCATTTGTCCTTCTGTTCTGGAGAACTGAAATCCAAGAAAATAGAAGATAAAAATTAAACCACATAAAATACTTATGCCAACATTTTGAAGACTGCCAAGCCACATGAAAATATCAACAGCATGCTGTTACTGATGTAGCTGTGCGTGTAGGCTGCAACCTGGCGTAACTGTTCTGGAAAGCTCAACAGTAAAAATGTCCTTTGGAAAAGCTACACAATCAAGTGCACTTTTAGTGAATCCTCTTGGACGATGGAATTAAAACAGTAGGGAGCTGCTCTGATAGTGCAAATACCTGATTCCAGAACTATATGCAAGCTAGATGACGATGAGAAAGTTACAACCTAAGCCGTCCCCATCCGTAAAACTGGGTTAATTTTCTCAGTGTTTTCTCATCTTAAGGTGTCATATAAATAGAAAATATGCTTAATATTTCTATTAAGATGAGACAAAAAAGAAATTTATCATATAGATAAAAGTATCTTGGCCCAGAAACCAGTCTGTTGTCAGGAAAAGAAACTTTTAAATACATAAAACACACCTTTCATTTAGTAAAAGCTCATAGAAAAAATTACTATAACCTTCTGATTAAGATGAATTTACAACTGAATTACCACTAGTAATGTTTCTGCTGCTTTCACTGTGCCTTTAATTCTTAAAGCTAAAAATAATCTCAAGTGAATTCCTATATAATCTCTTTTTTTGAGACAGGATCTCACTGTGTAGTTCAGGCTGGCCTTGAACTCACCCTGATCCTCCTGCCTCATCCTCCTGAGTGCTGGGATGACAGGAATGCACCACTACGACTGGCTTCCTATATAGTCTTGCCATTCACAAGCTTTAAAATCGTATTTCTAGACACTGAGGATACGTTCCAGAAAAATACATTTAATAAATATTTGTAATTTGCTTCTAACTTTATTGCTGGGCATTTTTCTCCATAATCTTCTAAGGCTGGTCATCAAAAACATATACATATATATTTTAACCACTGACCACAAATTCCTATCTTTCAAAGTTCCTCTCTATCTTTGGTATATTCTTTTCTAACACAGATTTTCTAGGTTAATGTCAAGTCTTGGACTTATTTAGCGTAAGTCTGTGTTGGAAAACAAATGTGTTCTCGGCTCAGTGGAAAATATTCCTTTTCAGGCACTTGTTCCCACTATCCTGCTCTCCAGCAGCAGAACAGAGTTAGGCTTGCTCAGGGACTTTCCTTAAGTGCAACCACACAGCATATATTTGTGCCTGGCTTGTTTCCTTTCAATGTTATGTTTGTGATATTTGTTCATATACCATAGTAAAAGGCGAAAGATGTATGCGATCTGAAGAGAAACCAAAGTATCACATACTATAGTAGTTTTAGATCAATCTCATAGCTATACAGTGTTCATTATTTGAGTATAGAGCACATGCTACTTTAAACAAATTATGAATGTGTCAGATTAATTTGTGGATATTCATCTGTATAATCATGTATTTTACCTTCCTCTTTATACAAGAATCCAGGACTGCCCATTCCTTAGTAAGTCTTAGTCACAGGCAGTTTTACAGGACGAATACCAGAAGCACTCCAAAGTCAACGTACTATTCAGTGTTTCAAAGCACATTTAAGAAGATGCAAGTAAAACTGAAGGGAAAATAATGCAGTATACCTAGGAGAAAGCCGAAGGGCCAAGCAGACCGGAAGATTCTCTTCAATTATGGGAGTAGTGAGGTCTGTTGTCCTTCAGCATGAGCTGAGGTCTACATTATTACCCTACAGAAAGGAAACTCAGAGGAAATGGTTTTAAGGGACTACTAGGGAGGCTGGGTCCTAGGCATCAAGGCTTTTGTATCAGCAAAGGTATCTGTCCTGCACTTGTGGTAAGAAACTGGAACATCTCTGAATGTAAAGAGATAACTCTGGGCATAGAAAAAAATGACATGAGAGTTGATCCCAACAGAATGAATGCCAATAGCATTTTTTTTCTGTTTTGGATGCATTCCAGCAGTGTCCTGTATTCTGGTTCTACCTTAAGAAATAAGGGTTCCAATAAAGAAGAAAATCTGATTTCCTGCCAGGCTAGCAAAATGGGAGCTAAAGGTGAGTTTTAATTTGATCTATAAATATGATTCTGTAGTCTAGGACATATCCTAGGAATTTCAGTTAAAATATTATTCTCACTGTCAGATTTAAGTGATTCCTGTTTTTTAAACAATATTCTAAATGTATCATGTAGTTATTTATAAAATCAGATTCAGTACCTGCTTTTCTGGTAATCACAGATTCCTGGGTTTGTAAATCAGACAGAGAACATGTACTGGCAGAGACAGGAAATTTCTCTGGCCCTTTCTGAGATGTAGCTATCTACCCTGTTTCCCAATGTAAAGCATGGAAAATTCACATTGTTTGCTCTTATCCCAGTTGGACTCAATTGGGAATTTCTTACATATTGTGGCAGCTGTCAGTCTTAAGATCTCAATGCTATCAGGGTGTTTGTTTTCTGGAGTGGGTGTTGTACTGTGTAGTCCAGGCTGGCTTTGAACTCACAGCAATCCTCCTGCCTCAGCCTCCTAAGTGCTGAGATTACAGGCAAGCATTACTACATCTGGCAATGCAATTAGTTTCTTATTTTTTGTTTCTTTACGAATAGTGTACTAATGACGAAGAACATGTTGCTTCTTAAGCTGCTAGCCTAATGGCATTTAAAGCTAATCATGACTATATATCTGCATCTATATATCTATAGATCTATCTATCTCTCTCTCTATCTATCTATCTACTTCCCCCAATGGTCTTAATCCTTTCCTAAGATCCATGTTTCTTTATATCATTTCACTTCAGTTTTAAAAATTTCTACTCATTTATTTTTAGAGAAACTGTCTGCTGGAAATACCTATCAGTCTTTTAAGTCTTTATTTTTATTTGAGTATATTGTATTCTACTTTGAAAGATTTTTCTCCCAATATCTGAAAGACCGAAAAAATTGAGTACTTGAAGATATTCCCCTCTCTTCTGACCTCCATAATTTCCAATGAGAAGTCCACAGTAATTCAGATTGTTGTTCTCTTATGTATGTAATGCACTGTTTTTCTCTGGCTGCTTTCATGATTTTTCTTTTCTCTTTGATTTAGAGCACTTAGTCTATAATATGACCAGTTGTATTTTTCTTCAAACTCATCTTGCTTGGGGTTTACTGAACCTAACAAATCTGTACTTTACGTTTTTCATCAAATACGCGAGTTTTAAACTATTATTTCTTCAAGTATTTCTTCTCTCTCCTCTTTCTGGGCTTCCAGTTACACGGATGTTATCTTTTGACATCTTCCCACAAGTACATGGTGCATTTGCGTCCCTTGTAAAAAGGACTTCCTCTCATCTCCAGACTGCGCACTTGGTATTGCTGCATCTTCGGATTCACCGACTCCACTTCACGCGCAGGCCTTTTATTTAAAGTACTGCAGTTTTCAGCTGCAGAATTTTCATTTAGCCTTTTAAAATATTTTCTATTCTTCTGCCAAGATTTCCTACCTTTTGATTAATTTCAGTGGGCGTTTCCTCTCACCTTCCAGGCACACTTATAAAAGCTGCTTTAAAGTTCTCTTCTGGTAATTCAGCACGTGGGTCATCCGAGGGTTGGCCTCCACCACTTACCTTTTTCTAACATGTTATTTATGTCAAACAGTTTTAGATACCAAAGAATTTTAGATGGTATTTTGAACTTTGCATGTTTTGTCTCAGCCTGCATTCTGTTGTATTTGCAAAACAGTATTCAGGCTTTTGCTTCAGTTGACAATGGATTTGATTAACTCAAGTTATGAAGTATTTCGCCTTCGTGGTCATCACCTCAGTTCAATTGTGTTGGTCTTAGCTTCGCGCTACTTTGCATCTATCCCACGCATGTGGGGTTCAATGGTCAGACAGAGACTTAGTGTCTATACACAGAATGTAAAGCTCTCCTTCTGTGGTATGTTCCTTTCTGCGATTCCCTTCCGTACTTTCCAGTAGTTACTGTTAACTGAGATGGTTTCTTTAGGCCAAAGAGATTACAGGTTTCTGTAAGCATTAGTTACCCTGCTCTGTGATGTGATTGCAGTCTGACTGAGGTGGAAAGCCTTAAAAATGGGAAACTCATCAAATATTGGTGCTTTCTTCCTTGTTACAATTTCTCTGCGAAGTCTCCCAACTTTTGTCTACCCTTCGGAATCCACAGGGAGTTGCTGTCATTTGTGCTTTGTTCAGATTTTACAGTGTTATCTGTACAGTGGTCAGTCTATTAAGACCTCACTCTGTTAGACCACAGGCAGAACTCAATGTTTTACTTTAAAAAAAATCTTACCTTTGAGATAATTTTAGATTTCCTGAAAAGTTACTTAAATAATACAGGGACTTCCTGTGTATATCTCACCCAGTTTCAGTTTCCTCTGATGTTATCCTTATATTATCACGGCCTATTTGTCAAAAATAAGAACTACTGAAACTTAATAATACTCTTTCATTACACAAGTTTCTCAACTTATGTCCTTTTCTCTGTTCCAGGTGCCAATCCAGGATGCTATATCACACTTTGGTAGTGTGTCTCCTTAGTGATTGGTCAGTGACACTTTCCCAGTCTTTCCTGTTTTCATGCTGTATCTTGATAGTTTATAAGCAGTACTGGTCAGGCAGCCTCATAATATTACTGAGTTTGTATTTGCCAGAGATTTATCTCATGCTTACATAAGGATTATGAGTTTTTTGAGAAGAAAATGAGAGGTGAATTGCTCTTTTCATCACATTAAGAGGTATATGACATCCATATGGCATCAACGGTGCTACTAACCTTGATTATTTGTTTAAAAAACCACATTTGAACAATAAAATGTATGTAAAACATGTTTCCAAATTTTTACCAGTTATAAACAAATATCACGGAAATTCTTTGATTGAAATATATCATGTAGTTTCCCTTCACTTGAAATGGCTTTTTTTAAAACCTGTAACTCCAAGGAGATTAAACAATAGGAAATAAGTTTTTATAGACATCTATTATGGAAAAGAAGACATACAGAGAATGATACAAAATATGTTTCCTTCAAATAAGCTCTTAAAATTTTAGCGCAGGCCAACAGAACATAATAGAATTTAGTCACATGCATATGCTTTATTAGAAGAGTGAAACCTTGGAAAATTTTAGTTATCTGGATTCAGGATGGTGACCAGGTAGTTCCTTCCGTGAGTGGCAGTGGGAAGAGAAGCAGAATGAAAAGCCTCCTGCGCACGTGATGAACAATCACTTAAATGTAAATCAAACACTGGAATTGGGGCACTGCTGTTCAGAATCACAGGTCTGAGTTTTGGTCTGCTCATCATGAAGAATCAGAAAGTTCCAACTAAGCGGGTTCCAAATAAAACACAAATATGCTGTATCTCTATAGGGGCCAAGTCAGAATCTGAATCATTACACTGATTGTATCTCTACAATAAAAAGACATTTCCTTACAAAATCTGGTAGTATGAACCAGTTACTTAAAATCAATTGGGCTATTTTATAAAAACTGCTTTAGCAGGTCTACTTTAGTGGTCTGAAAAGAACTGATAAAGCTCACCAGAATATGTAGAACAGACACTGAGATGTTGGACAGGGGAATACTGGAAGAGGGGAGTTCCTAGACAGATCTGACTCTAACCCACTCCCATATTCCAGAAGTTCCTTTCCTTCCAGTTGTCGCAGCAGGACTCCTTTTTAGAAAACCTCTGGTCAAACAAAGGGAAATGACCCCAAGAGATTCCAATGTTTTGTGCCCACATTTTCTAATCAAAGGGTCTTTAGTGTAAATATGAGACATTTTTTACTGGGGGTGTCAGAGATTTTTGTTGAGTATGTGTGTCAAGAGATGAGTTATTGACAATCCACAATCAGAATAAAATCTTTTCATTTTAAAAATTAGGGAAACTACATTTGATGAAAACTTAGACATTATTAGAGTACCTCATCCCAGCAAATGTAGGACAAACTATGGCTCTTACCTGAATGTGGCCACGAAGTTCACTGTGGGCCAGCCCAAGACAAAGGATTTCATAGCATTGGTGTTGACTTCTCCCACTTCATCCACACAGCTGGCTGTCCACATATCAGTTAATTTTATTTTATTTTTTATCTTAAAGTTATTGTTGTACCTAGAAATATAAAAATCAAACAGGACCTCTTTTACTGTGTATCTTAGATTTTACTAGAGGTTTAACAGGGCCTGTTGTAAGACGACAGTTTCCACCAGTCATGGGCAAACAATGTCTTATTCCTTCTTTCTTCAGTGCCTTTACAAGTAAATTGTAACATGGTGCTGGGCTGGGTCCACCTAGCCTAACTCCAAGAAGACTTCAGAAACACTGGTGAAACACTTAATCCTCATACCTGTTACAGCAGCAAATGTCCACAGACTAGTCACTGCATTTTTCTATATGTTGAATACTACCCTTTGGATTAGAAACAATTTAAATTTACTGCTTTATAAAACTTATTATTTGTAACATGCTGACTTTCAAAAAGATGAGAGGATGAACATTAAAAAACATGTTTTACAAAAATGTTTATAAAATTATCTTATGAGACATGTACTGAAAAACCTTGGAAATAATTAGAAAAATGTATAATTCATTTTCATCTGAACGATTACAAGACTTTCTAGCCTTCTGAAGCATTGGTTATTTTAAATTTCCTTATGACTTTGTTCAACTATTTTTCCTTGTATTCTGGCAAAAACTGTGAAACTGTAGCCTAAAAACAGAGCCTAAACTATGAACGAGGAAAAAAAAAAAAAGTAAAAGAGTAGTGTTGACATAATTAACATTAATCTCTGGGGTCTTAGGTGACCTACTTTAAACCTAGCAGTAAAATTGCTTTTTGACAATTTCTACTTCATTTCCCTTAGGGCCCTGATAATGGAAACTACCATATCTTTTGACCTAATTGACAGATTTAACGTTCATGATGGATCTGACTAAAAAAAAAGACACAGTATGTCCAGGGAAACTTGGGTCTTCCTAGCATTTAAAACCATTTGTGGGGGCTGGGGATTTAGCTCAGTGGCACAGTGCCTACCTGGCAAGCGCAAGGTCGTGAGTTTGATTCTTGGTACCAGAAAAAAACAACAAAAATTAAAAAAAAACAAAAAAACAAAAAAAACCATTTGTGTAAACACTAAAAGCTGGAATAAAGCAAATATACCTCATATAAAATGGCTCTAAAACTTCTCTAACTGCATAGAGTATTTCAAACCGAAACACTTCAGCAGAATTTATAATGACAAAAGATTTTGTAAGAACTGTACCTAATGGCTATCTAGAGACAAAGCTTCATCCATGCTTCCCATGGGGCACACTGACCTCAAGTGTAAAAGAAAAAATTCTTTGTGGCTAACGGCTTTTTTCTGCATTTTATTTCAACATTTTTACCCTATTGCTATGAATCTTTATAGGGTTTTTATGAAACAGACTTGATTACAGACAAAATCCTATTTCTTGATGGCAATTATTTAGGCAACATAAAACTAAAGATACAGTACAAGAATTTTAGAATGAGAGGTATCTTTCCATATTTGTTTTCAAGCACCTTGTATTTTCTGAAGAAGGCTTTTCTATATATTAGATACTTGAGACATCATGTGAGAATTTCTACACCTGTTGGCCTAGACAAATCACTTTCTTTCCCTAGATCAATAAAGTGTCAAGCTAACCCACCCCTCTTTAAAAAACTGTCTGAAAGTGTAACAATATTTCTGTTCTTATATACTAAAAATAATGGCTAGTATTTGAGAGTTTACCATTGCGAGCTAGTCATTGTTGTAAATACTTTACATATATTATTTAGCTTAACCTCCAGACATTTTATACATACGAAAATGTAATGACAGAGTGATGAACTCACCAAAATGTCAAATGGCTTAAGTACTACAGCTGGAGTGTGAATGAAGGTATGGCTGTTTCCTGAGCTTATTTATGCTCTTAATCATTACACATCCATAAAAAGCGCGGAAAAGTGCTATTCCTATAAAGCAACTGGATGGAGTTATCTTTTCTCTACCTTTAGCTTATATATTATTTTGTCTCTCTAGAGATACAGGCTTTCTGATGGGAGTGTTTTCTTATTAGGATTGTGAGAGAAATGTCATGAGCATGTACACACATAAAGCTAGGTGGCATTAGCTTGAAAGAATTTAAAGTAAGTATTCTAATAAAGCTTTATATTGAAATGGACAGCTCTGGGTCATAGTGTACTATTTCCAATTTTTTACTCTCAATTTCTAATAGTATTAGGTTATACAAATTTAAAAATGTGAATCCAGTGTAAACTGGCTCTAACCATATTACCAGTATTATCTCCAATGGTGTTATAGCAATAGAAATTAAGTACAAATCTAATGTGAACTGACTGAAAAAAAGAATTGTAAAAATTAATTCCTTATTTCCTAATGTAGTCTGTTACTAAAAAATTAAGATCACTGGTATAATTTGCTTTCCTACCCTCTGGTCTTTACACCGTAAGGAATTCTAGTGAACTAATGAAATGCATAGTATTACAGAGACACCCCCTTGATTCTAGGTTACATTTATGTATCTTTCATGACGTCTCATAGTTAAAAAGAATGGGGGATGGAGCAGGTCCCAGGTCCCACCCTTTAAGATGGGTGGCAACTGCACTGGCATTTAGCAGTGAGTGGACAGGACTCTTGCTGGGCACCTCTAACGGATATTCCATGCATATCTGTGTCTTTAACTGTCATTTCTCCAGATGAAGCCCTTATTACCTTTTGCTGGGACTGCTACAATGCCTCCTGCTCAGTCTCCTTGCTTCTACACTTGTTTCCTCCAACCCACTAACATCAGCAAATGATATTTAGAAAATATGCATCACTTTATAGCAATTCCCAACTAAAACTCTATGGAATAAAATCCAAAAACTCATCGTAACCTTTGTGGTTTCAAGGCTCCAATGCGGCTCCCAGTGATCCAAAGCGCCCTGCTCCTTGACACTTATTTTCTATAGCACCCTTCTCCGCAGTGTACCAAGGCTGTGTGGCCAACAGCACACATCAGAAACGATGGTTCCAAAGGAAGCAAGCTACAGTATTATGAGCAGCAGTGCGGAGAGACGCATGTGGATGATTAAAGCCTCTAGCCAACAATCAGTGAGGAACTGAGGTTGCTGGCGTCCTCACGAGTGAGCTTGGAAGTGGATTCTCCTGTCAAACCTCACAAAGGCCCTACCCAAACACTCCCAATTACGGGCCTCAGAGAAACTGTACAAGAAGTTTACAGTTTGAAACGGTTATGTTCTAGAGTGACTGTCATATACCTCAATTTCCCAGTGTTTTGTACCCTTCAAGGAATTTTTTTGCCCATGATTACAACTACCTACCATATATACTGTTTTTTTTGTATATGAGAGTAGGAATTGAACTCAGGGCCTCACATATGCTAAGTAAACTCTGCCACTGAGCTACATCCCCAGCCCTTTATATTTTGAGACAGGGTCTCACAAAATTGCCTGGGCTGGGCTCAAATTTGAGATCCTCTTGCCTCAGTCACCCCAGGAGCTGTGTTTACAGGCAAGTATCACTGCACCTGGATATATACCCTATCTTTTACTGCATCTAGCACCCTATTTACTTCATAATACAGTCTGTAATTTCTCCACATATACATCACAATGTAAGCTCCCGCATTAGACTGTAGGTTTTAAGAGCAGGGGCCATAACCATCACATTCTTCACTGTATTTTCTACATTAGTTCTGGGTATGGCACAAACAAGATCTAAATGAGTATTTACTGAATGAATAAAATACGGAAAGTTTTTGCATAAACAAGATAAACATAAAACTCACTTTAGTAATGAAGGCCAGACATCCCCACTATAAAAGCACTGAACAGAAAGGGTATCACTGTCAGTAGAAATACAAGTTTTAAACGGTAATTAGGAGACAGCATGCAGTACACTTACTTGATTTTGACTACAACAAGCAGGTCACTGAACAGGAAGAGATGCCGCTCCTGCCTCTGCAGGCCTCTTTTGAGTTCTACCCGGCCATCAATCAGCAGCGTGCGACTGGGGCACACAAATGATGACAGGAACGCACAGGTGTCAACACCAGCAGAAGGGCTTTCCCTGGGACAAATCAAATGTCAGTTAAAGAATCAACTGTACCACTAGTTTTTATTTAAAAAATAAAATTTGTAGCTTATAGTTGGTCAAGAAATAGAAAACTCTGTAATTTTTAACTGTAGTGTATTAGTATTCTTACTGACCTCCACTTCTTCACATAATAGTCTTTAAACTTCACTGTAAAATTTTTGAAACATAAAGTTGAAGGTTTTATACTAAAAACACAAGAATACCCTAACCTATCCTAGTTTCTATCACTGAAATTTTATTGTACTCGCTTCATACATCTAAGGCAACTATCTACCCTTTTGTCTAGTCATCATTTTATTTTTGGCATTTCAATATTAACTGCTTACACAGTTACTACTTCAGCATATGTCAATAACTATAGCACAATCTTTATAATTTTTCTCTTGTTATAAAACACACAATGAAACACACGAATCTTAAGTATGATATTCCTTAAATTTTGACAAATGCACTCAATTGTGTAATCTACACTTCTACTAAGGTATACAAAATTATCATTACCCCAAAGTATTTCCTCTTGCTCCTCTTTTTGGTTGTTATATAAATCAGCGCAAGACGATATCCAGGTTATTTACCCCTAGAGGTTGTTTATTTCTTCACTGCAGGCTGTGACCCATTACAGCAAAAGCTTGCTAATGCCAAGTTCAAATTTTTATATGCTCAATTAGGTAAAAGGTAGTCCAAGCAAGCAGATTTTAGCCAATATTATCCTGTCTGCTTTGCGTATCCAGCATCTGTTGGCCAATGAAAACAGAGTACTATATGCAGTAATGAGAGCCCAGTTACACTGCTGCATATTGGAGCATTCTGGCCCCTACTGATCTTCCTTTCTCCTGGGGTTCTCTTGCCCTCCTCATTTTCTGGATGATGGCTCTTTGCCACAAGTGTCTAACCAGTCTCGCACTGTGAAGATCCCCCTGTCCCCATATTGGAAGTTCAACCCAGGGCCTCCACACTGATACCACCTTATAACATTGAAACATGGTCTTCCTAAGTAATTATGTTGCTCAGGCTGGGCCCAAACTTGTGATCTTCCTGCCTCAGCTTCCCAGAGTGCTGGGATAATAGGTGTGTATCACCATGCCTGACAGGATTTCCACTCTTATATAACAGGTACCACAATCTATCTTTTTCTTGGCCAGCCCCAAATCTCCCAAACTCCTTATACCAGGAAATTTCCACTCCATCACTCCAGAAGCAACCACTATTCTAATTTTTTCCTTTCGAAGAAACCTGAAGGTTACCTGTTAAAATTTTATACACATGACATCAGAATATATATTCTTTCATGCAAGATACTTTTAATCACCATGTTTTTGGGATTCATTCATTTATATTTATAAGTAATCCATAGAAAAGTTTACTAAATAGTATTCACGGTATAGGTATACCAGATATATTGCTACTATTGATGAGCAACTCGTTTCTAGGTTTTTATTCTGGCTTTCTTTAAGCTATTATGAATAAATCTGTTTCTGAAGGCCTTTTTGTGAGCTATGCTTTTATGTTTCTCAGTTTAACTCTGAACATAATTGTTGGGTCACAGAGTAGGTATATGTATAGTTTTAGAAAAAACTACTAGTTTGTTTTCCAGTGTACTTACCAGTTTTATATTCTCAGCAATACTACTCGAAAATTTCAGTCACTCTACAAGCCTTAGCAGTGTGTGTGTGATGTTGTCAATTCTTTTGTTTTTCTTTTTTTGAGACAGGGTCTTACTGTGTAGTTTAGGCAGGCCTTGAGCTCACTTACTATGTAGCCTAGGCTGGCCTTGAACTCATGGCATTCCTCCATCCTCCTGCCTCAGCCTCCCAAGTGCTAGGATTATAGGTGTGTACCACCACACCTGACCAATCATTGGAATTTTAGCCAATTTAGTGTATATATAGCAGTATCTCACTAACATCTTACTTTACATTCCCATGATGAGTAGTTTCATGTTTTTACTGGACATTTGTATATCTTCATTTGTGAATGAGCTGTCTTCAAGTGTTTTGCCCACTTTTTTTTAAAAGAAAGGTTATGTGTCCTTTTATTATTTAATTGTAGAGTATTTTTAAGTATTCTGGATACCAGTCCTCTCTCAGGTATGTGTTTTGAAAAATACTTTCTCTTTGACTGTTGCTTGTTTCTATACCTTCTTGACTGTGTTTCTGATTAAAAAGCTTGTAACTTTGATAAAGTCTAGTTTATTAGTTTTTTTAGTAAGGTGTAACTCTAAGAAAACTTAGTCCTTAAGTTATTCCCCTACGTAGTCCATGAAAATATATATGGTTTTCATGTAAGTCTACACTTCATCTCTAATTCTGATTATAGTAGAAGGTAGAAGCTGCAGTTAATTTTGTTTTTCTATCTGCATACATCATTATTCCAGTATCATTTGCACAATGGTACCTCAGACCTAGGCAAGTATGTAGCACTTGGAAGAAATGTCAGAGTAAAAGTACTCTGGTACTTCTGTTAAAACTCACATGACCATAAGGCACAGATCCTTTCCTGTGATCACTATTCTGCTGCACTTAGCCACTTGTTCCTTCTTATGCTAGAATCACATTCTCTTACTGTTTCTCTTTCCAGTGTGTCATGAAAGTAGGTAATATAACTCCACCAACTTCTTTTTCCTTGAGATTTCTTTGGATAATCTAGGTCTTTTGTTCGTCCAAATATATTGTAAAGATTAATAAAGAGGAAGAAAAAAGGAGGAAAAAGCCTATTGTGACCAGGGAAGAAAAAAATGATTGCAGTCTCTACTACACTGACTCTGAAATTATTTGGCTAGATGGCAAAGGGAATCAGGTATGTCCTTCGCACTCAAAGAGACACGGGAAGTACATATACAGATCTGATAATCACATACAGACAGATAGATAACAATAAAGGAATGACCAGAACTTCCTGGGGAAGAAGCCCAAATTAAGAAAAAAGACAGAGATACATACTGGGAAAAGATGTCAGTGGAAAAGGGAAGAGAACCTATAAACAAGCTGAGCAGTGGGGAATGACAGAAGAAGAAAAGGGACAAAAGACAGTGTGGTCTGCAGTGCTGACACTGGGGAGGGTATGACAAGAAGAGGTCCAAGAAGATGTCTATGAGAAAAAAAAAATCACTTGGCCAGTAAGACCTTCAGGGAAACAATTTCAGGAAAATAGGGAAGGCAGAACTCATATGCCCTGGGGTCTGAGGAACAAAAGAACAAAAAATGAAAAACTAGAAGCCAGTAACTCTGGTTTAAGAGCCTAATACCTTCCAGAAGCTGACAGTAAGGATTCTAAAAGGGTGGATACTACACCTGGCAAGGAAAGAAAAGTAAGAGAGAAATCATTAGCATTGAAGATAAGTGCTACTATTCCTCACTTCACAGACCTGAAACTATTAAGAGTAGTCAAATATAGTGCTAGTAAGTGAAAATGTTTACAGTAAGTGTGGCTTTAGAACAGGTACCTATATTCAAGAGTCCATGTAGTCTTTCAAGTGGGCAAGCCCTTAATAACAGACTCAGTTTTCTCCTCTACCATGGTATTGAGCTCAGTAGCCAGCTTCATGGCTTGGGGGAGGGAGGAGCTAACCCAAGCCTTGGGCTTAGTAGCATCAGATGGCAACTTATGTGGTGGCCACAGTTTCCTCATCTCTAAAGTAAGGTGGTTGGACAGGACTGTAAAATCTTTCAGGTTCTTTTATAATACATATATGAGACCAACTATAATAACATGTACCTATTGGACAGAAATAAGATGAGAGAGAAACAGAACATGGATACCATTAGGTATCTCTATGAACCCTATCTTAAAGTATTATTTATAAACAGAGCATACTTGAAAGTCATCTCAAAGGAACAATCTGGAGTTGAAATAAAAAACAAGCAAAAGGAATAACAATAAGAACTGAGGGATTTTTTATCAGTTTAACTTTTGAGAAAAATTCAACAAGAACTTATCAGGGTCTCTACCAGTTTTAGGGTATAAGAGGCCATGAACTATCACCTCAACTATTTGGTTCACTTGGCAGCTATAATAAATAGAGATTCTGACTTATGGGGTGTGGCATCTGATTTTAAAATCTTTTATAATATAAGAAATAAAAACACAACTAAGTTTTTAAAACTATAATTTAAGGAAGACTTCCCCAGATTCCAGGGAGATGGTGGAACAGCAAGTCAGCCTCTCCAGGACCAGGAGTCCAGACACGGGAGTACAGCAACTTGAGGAAGAGAAGAAAGAGGGAGGTGGATCCCCAAGATGCAGAAAACTTCTGAAGGGTGAATTGCAGTCTACGTGGAGAGTGAGGTGACAGGCTTTAAGGCAGAAGAGGGAGGTGACTAACTGTAGTTTCTCCTTGACTTCCTACTTGCTGGCAAACTGTGCATTCTCCCTCACTCCTGGCTGAAAGTATGAAAGGAGGCTCAAGCCAACAGAGGCATGGTGACGATGGGAGACCCTAGAAACCTCCAGGGAGAAACATACCAGCAGAGCAGAGAAGTGGATGTGGTGGGCTGCAACAGCTGGTGAGTGACTTCAGTCCAAACATCCCTAGGTGGGGGTGAGTGATGGTATCATTTTTTGGGTGGGGCCAGCTAAACGTGGGAATTGGAGCAGTTGTGGGTTAGCTCCATCTCAGGGTTACCAGTGCCTGGGTAAGGCACACCCCTGGGAGATGCCCAGGTTGGGGAGCAGAGATTAAGCCAGCAAGAAACAGTGTTGTGAGATGAGTAGCAGATCTAGAAGACAGGACTGCAGTTAACAATCATGAAAAGAAAGATTTCTTAAAAATAGCAAGGGACTACAAAAAATCTAACAGCTGGTAGATTATACAAAGACTAACATAAGGTTGATCAGAGTCAGTGAAAATGCAGGAGCATCCTTTGGGATGGGGAAGCAACACAGGAGCAGCCCCATCTCTGTGGACCTCTCCGTTGGTGGGTGAGGCCTGTGTGGACACCCTGCCTTGCTCCTTTGGGATGGGGAAGCAACGTGGG